TTTTCCCCCCCCCCCCCCTCCCTCCCAACCAAGATTCAAATATGGGATAAGAAGCTCTGTTTGTTGGTCTTAGGCCATCAAATCATTGTCTTCACACAATATGGAAAATGTTGTTCCGGTGCACTTTAATGATTGCCCACTATGATTCGTAATATGCAGGAAGCAAGCAGAAGCAAATTACATCCAAACAAAAAAGCAAGTTGGAATTCGCCTCATACGAAAGAGGCCGTGGATGTTGAGAGCACAAGGTCTTCGGTTTAACTTTATAGGATGATCAACTGATCTCTCACCAGTATTATAGGAAAACTAAATGGTTAGCACCATGTGCTTGTGTTTTTGTTGACGCCTTGTTAAATCCCTGCGATGTGATAAAGGTGGTTAGTTGTTAGGAGTTGGTTATGGTCGTTATGCCAATTAGCTGTATAAATACCCCTCCCCCCTCTCTGCAACCGGTAATCAAGAAATGAAATAACAACTCTCTTTTCCTCGATATACTAATTTGCACAACAACCACAACCAACTCCAAACCGCTAACCACCTATATCACTATGGAGATTGGATCCCCTTTGTATGTAATCAGGTATTATGGTAGTTTATACTGTTGAGATGTAAATATAATAAGCTCCTAGTAGATGTGCTTTATGCTTTGTTATCTTCTTTGAGCGTATTCTAAATCCCTCTTCCAATTGTATGCAACCCACTGTAGTTTTTTTTTTTAATATTTGGAGCAGAAGGGTCAAAGTCCTCAATCTCAAGGGCCACAACTCCCATGAGGATCAAATGTCATTGGCACCAAGGACAAGATTTCTGTGTTAGAATCTACTGATATGATCAATCTATCCAAGGGGTTTGTGATATTTATTTTGGGACATCCAAATAAAGAAAATATGACTTTTTTTAGGGATAGATAGTATTTGTTATGTCCAGAATGACTGAGTTTTAGTATACTTGAATTGCCATTTGCACATAATTAGTAATTTGGCTTTGCATGAACTTTGAGATTTGGTTGTATTATGTGTACACAAATACGAATCATCCGATTGAGGCGATTCGACATTTTATGGAAAGGATTTTCTACGGAAAGGCAATGACACCTATGTAAGTTTTATAACTTGGCAAATTTTTGCATGGATCTAAAGTCCATGGTGGACCTAAATATATGCAAGATAAACATTTTCTAAATGTTGAAATAAGCATTTTCTTTATATAATAATTTAAAAATATAAAAAATTGTGTGAGTAGGAAGTCCATGTGAACCATAAACTCACCATAGAACCAAGAGAAATGGTTCCATATTTTTGGAACCAAGAGAAAACACTGACACTATCAACAAAGAAAAAGAAAGAATCAAATAAAGTTAATCAATGATTTAAAGCCATATATACTTGTATGACACCATTGAAGCTCATTCAACTATAATGATGGTACAAAACAATTGAGTGTACTGTGTGTAGTGTGTACTACACCTGAACAGCTTACAGCTCTGGTAGAGTCTGAGATGTGGTGTGGCCTAGTCAGTCAGTCTCAGTCATAAGGGTTCCTGAAATTCTTGAGAAGCTCAGGGATGTCATATCCAAGCATTTCATCCACAGCTTGTACCATTTTAGGCTTCAACTTCTCAAACTTATCCATGTTGTAGCCACTCAGAATTTCCTTGAAGTGTTCAACATTTGGGAAATCCCCAGCAGGCAGATGTTGTTCCCTCTGAACCTGTTTGGTGTGGCATTGTAGTATTTTTTTTTATTTTTTTATTTGCATCAGAATGAGAGAGAGAGAGAGAGAGAGAGAGAGAGAGAGAGAGAGATGGCGAGAATGACCTTTGCGAATTCATCAGCCAAGTTATCAATAAGTCTCTGTTGAGCTTTGGCTTTGCCCATCATTGCAGGCATCTCCTTCTTCAAGTGACTGATGATATACGCGTGGATCTTGGCAGCTCTGGCACGCTTCACAAATTCATTTATCTGGGCGCTCACGAAAATAGTTGGTCTCTTTTATTTCATTTTCCAAACACAATAATCATAATCTGGACTCCAGAAATAAAATAGAAAAACATAACATACGCGGCAATCACAAGCTTTCTTTGGTATGTCTCTCAAGTCACTCAGTAAGTCATCTTGTTCCTTTTCAAAAAGCTCTTTCCCAAGCGGACCAGTAGCGGCCTCATTTATAGGCTTGTCATTGAATGACCTGCGCAAAAGGTACATAAAAAAGAATCAAAACAAAGCAGCCAAAGAACCTCCCTTTTCAAATGCATGCATGCAAATTCAGTCATCAATACCCAATGTAAACACGCATGACCTCGGGAGTGTTAAGGACTTTGCCCAAGGACCACATCAATGCCCCATAAACCCGCATAAGCTGCACAATTCAAGGAGATTCAAATTAAGCCGCAGACTTATACCAGTTATACACCAAACAGCAATGTAGGTTTGTATTGATGTGTAGGAAGTGGAATTATGTACAACTAGAATCTTTAGTCCACAACATAAGAGGCCTCACTTGTTGAGTATCAACTTGATCAGCCTTGTTCAGAACAACCCTTATCTTATCGTCATGGCCTCGGAGAGAAGAAATTACACGTTTGAACTCATCACTGATATCAAGTTTGTGAGGATCAAATAACAATAGGATGAGGTCACACTTGGCAGCAAACCAAGATGTCACACCAGTAAAGTCATAGCTCCGTTGTGTTCTTTGCTTTTCTCCAGATAAAACTCCAGGAGTATCAACAAATGTAATGTTCTCCAACAGCTTTTTTGAGCATTCAAAACACACACCAAAAAAAGAAGATACAATAAATCTATATCTGAGGAGAAAAGATTCGAGTTGTTATCTTCATTTATGAGAATCCTTTTGGCACAACTGAGGTATGGCTAGTAACTCACAGGATGAGGCATTTGAGAACATTCAAATTTTGACAAAAATGCTGTTCCGAAAGTTGTTAGACCACTGAATGGCATGTCTGCTTGAACGGCAATTGTGTTCCCTGGAATACTTCTTTCATCAGGTCCATTCTGTAATATACATACAGTAAAGAGTAAACACTATGAGTGGAAAAATTTATACTAATAAATAATAAACAATATACCATGACAATAATATCGGAAAAGCTTAATAAGCATTAAACTGATATTTAAATAAGAGAATGTTAGTTACTAAGACATCCATTGCATTGGGTAAATAATGGACTAAATCCAAATAGAACATTCAACTTCCTTTACTTCTTATTTCAATGAAGTTTTGGGAAAAGCTCACATTACCATAACAACAACAAATCTATCTGTTGTAGGTTCCGGCCCAATGTGAGCTCCTGCAATTATAAAATATCATGTAAATTCCAATAGCAATCTATTAAAATGGTTTTGATAATAAAATTTTAACACAACTTGCAGACAATAAGCACAAAATTATAGGAAAAACCTGGATAAGTGCTCCTAAGCAGATGCTTAATAAAAGTTGTCTTCCCCGTAGAATATTGACCCAAAAGCATCACCATCGGTTTAGCATCAAAGTCACTGTTTGTCTAATAACAAACAATACATACATCCGGAAATTATTTCTTCATGGCATTCTTTTTGAAAATAAGGTGTGACAGTATACAACAACAACCCAGTTGGATCCCACGAAAATATGGTTTGAGGAGGGTGTGTGTACCCAGACCTTGCCCCTACTCGAAAGTAGAGAGGCCGTTTCAAAGTGACCCCTGGCTCAAGTTGCAAAGATAAAAGATCACAGTAGTAATAGAATTTAGGATGGGGTATGGGTCACAGGACTGGTAATAAGGCACTTGGGCTGAGTCACATTAAAAGATAAAATCCAATCGATTATTTAGTTCAACTCAAGAGCTTATATACCGATTACTTTTCTATTCAACTTCCGATGTGGATACTCTAACACTCCCCCTCAAGTAGACAACCGGCTATTTTAAATCTAACCGGTTGACCACTTGCAAATGAACTCCCGTCCCTTGATTTTTTAACGTCATCACCTAAAGAACTATGAGCCGTTGGGTATTGACTTCTACACGAGCAATCGGGTTAAACGAGCCACAGGTCGTTGGATTTCCATTCCATACGAACAACTGGGCTAAAGGCTAGGACCGCTAGAAATAAACGTCTATACCGATTATTATTTTATTTAACTTCCAATGTGGGATAAGACTCTAACAAAGTAACAAGTAGATACATAAAGTACAGAAAGCAAGGTCTGACAGTATAATAGAAGGGAAAGTAAACCCACCAATGAGGGAGATACAAATTCATTAAAGCGATATGTAACTTCTAGTGGCTTCAGATTCTGAATGTATAACTTTTTCAATCCATCAATTATTGATGTCACAGAGCTTATAGAGACCTGAGGGGACCAAGACAAAGAAATATAAATTGGAAATCAAAGTGCTAAAAGAGTTGGGTTAGAGAGCACAATAACTGCTCATAAGAAGAATGACCAATAAGCAGCAACATATATCAGGTACTGAAGGGGAAGATAAATACAAAGTATCCATTAGGTTTTTTATATGAAGGCAACCAATATTAGTAGTGAAACACCTTCTTTCTGCTAATGCAAAAAAGTCAAAAGCTAATTATATACTCCCTCTGTCCCAAAATGAAGTTTACACTTTGACTCCATTCAGTTTCAAAAGAAGTGTTGAAAAATGAAAGGTGTTTAGTGAAAAGTGAAAGGTGTGTGGTTGAAATTTATTTGGAAGCAAGAGAAAAGATTAGAGACACATATTCATTTCCTAGAAGAGAAAGTAGAGAAGTGTAAACTTCACTCTGGGACATCTAAAAGACGAAAGTGGAAACTGCATTTTTGGACAAAGGGAGTATCAGCCTAACTTACAAGGTCAGGATGATACAAATCTCTTAATAGCTAAAAATTTATCCGTTTTAAAGGTCCCCTATGAAAAACAAATGGCTTTAGGAATTCATATAAAATAAAAAATAGTAAGAAACTGACAACACATACAATATACAAATCCACTCAGGAACCTTACAAAAGGATGCAAATCGAGTGATAAGAGTTGAGATATTTTCCACAAATATGATCTAAAAGGATTGTCATTGAATAACTTATGTAGAACTAAGCAGAAGCATTTTGCATGACCTGGCCTATATGATATGCGTGCCATCAATATAATCAAGAGAAAACTGGCCTAGGCCACCCTCCCTTATTCAGCTAGTAACTACAAAGAAAACTTATATTTTTCTCCAATTAATATTATATTATGTTAAACTTTGCACTCCACGTTCCATAGATAGCACTACATAAAATGCAAGCAACTCAGGCAAAATATTAAATAATTGGTGTGCCCAAGCTCTGGCTCGAAAAAGCTTATAGCTTATGGTAGGTTTAAGATTGAACCCGCGTTTAAACAAATTTGAAAGTGTAAGCATGGTTTGGATTTTTTTAAATGGCTTGAGCTGAGTTCAACCAACTAGAACATAACAAAGCTTACAAGCTCGAGATAAAACTCAAGTTTGTACCAAACTACCAATTCCGCATGCTGTTAGCATAAAATTTTCATTGGCCAGACAATTCACAAGTAAGCTTGAGCACAAATTGATCACTTAACGAGTAAGCTCATGCTTGATTACTTGAACTTGATCCAATTTGAATCAAGCTTTGACCAAACAGTTCAAGAATGCTGTCTACTTTGCACCTTCTGTTCATTAGTTCACACACATAAGTACAAATTATGGTCAAGAAATCAACTGGAAGGATTTTTCATCTTTCCCAATGCACAAGGTCCGTATGACTTTTAACTTTCCAAATAAAAGGCTAGAGGTCATACTTATAAGCACAAAATGTTTCTCATTCATATGACTAAAAAGACAATGTCAAAGACTCAAAGCAATGTGAGAATCATTTATTTAATCCTCCTATTTATCTATGTTAAATATAAGTGTATCCAGATCTAGAACATAAATATCATGGATCAAGTCGTCAAAGCAATGATAAATTTCTGTGAAATAAAAAAACAACATTTGTCCTTTATCATGAAGAAAAACCAAGGTTGTCTGAAAACGTAATTGAAATGAAATTCTTATTACTAGAAGACACGAATGAAAATTTTCAAGGTCTATTTCACACTCATATGTCAAAAACTTAGAGCATATGGTCCTACAAGGCTACAAAACTAATAATCTTGCTCTATTGCTAACTCATAGGTTTACACCTTTTTGTGTTCCTACCCTTGATGATGTTCGTTCATTTCAAATGCATTCACTTCAAGAGTCACTAAGCTTATGTAGCTCAAGAGTCATGCATGCAAGCATTAGACAGGCAATATCTAGCCCTTTGTTTTTATGCTAGTTAAAGTTCTTCAAAATATATTTTAGATGGGAGGCATTAGAAGCAAGTGGTTGGAAAAGAACACATTGGGCACACAAAATTTATTCTTTTGTTTGCGTATTATCCTAAAGTTTATGCATCAATCTGAAAGAATCAAACCATTGAGTTTGTCCTTCAATAGTATAGATTGCAATGAAATGTGTTGGATGTGTTGATAGTAGTCATGAAAACAGCATATGCATTGTAAGTATTCCGTAACTTTGAACTTTGCCAATTGTATAAACAAAACTACCACTACTTTATTCAAATTAATTGCGAGAGTTATTAACCATTTGTTCTCACAAAATGGAGAAGCATTCCATTCGTGTATTTTGCAATTCACTAATACTTCTCAAAGTAGATCATTGAACAATGAACAATATATTAACAATTGCTTCCATATGTTTTATTAAAAAAGGCGGTACATTTTAAATACAGTAATAAATCATGTGGTCTATATAATCTCAATTATTGCGTAAATATTAATGAAACACAGAGTAATTAATTTGACAAAAAATCAATGTTGTACACGACCAAAAGAAACAACAGAAATTTTTATGTTTCGTATTGAAAGCTTATAGAGAGACTAAATGAACCTTCTTTGCAGATTTTGACGACTGAAACCAACTAGCTGCTTGAGAGGAGGATTGTCTGAGAGGGCTGACTGCACCATTGAAAAATTAATAAAATCCAGATGACCAGACACAACTAATGAAACAAGAAATAAGGGTTGAAAATAAAGATTGCTCTTGCATATACTCCGTATTATACAGAGTATATAGATATGCAGAACAGTCATACCATTCAGCTCGGGTTCACTTTTTGGCACATGATTTTTCTGCTGTAAAACATATACATTGACATAGAAGTTAAGAGTTTGAATAATGATTTCATACTCGTGGGTCTAATTATCAACTACACTTACTTCCAGTAGTGTATCTAAACCTTCCATCCTTGGCGGCTCTATGTTTTTGAAGTCAACTGCGATTGGTTGAAAATCACACTGGTTAGATCAAAAGAGAAAAAGAATGCTACTAAGAGATACAAATTGAGTAATGAAGGGATGAAGTTAATCTCTTGTGGTAGCATTAGAGTGCCTCCCCAAAGAACTGCAGCAAATTGAGAAAAGGCAACACAAAATTACACTAGTTACCTTTTGCATCCAAAAGATCAACGGTGATTTCTTGTCCAGCTTGGGCCAACGACACTAACTAAACATTGAAATGAGGAGAACTATCAGTTTTCAAAAAAATATACAATGCTAAAGGCAAAATTTACAGACTAAAGAAAAGATCAGAACCTGCATAGCAATCACAAATTCATTAAAACCTAGATAACCTTGCCGTTTTGAATCTGCAATTGCCCATACCTAAGGCAAAGTGAAGTGAATTTAAAAAGATAGTAAACACATGTTTCAGTAGAATACACATTCCTGAAAGGAAAAAAAAGAAGAAGGAAACATAACAAAAAAAACTAAAAAAAATGTCAGGATTAGTTTAGACTAATTGTTAAATATAGTGTTTCTATATTTAATATATTGTGTAGTTATTATTGTATATTGTATATACTAGTTACCATGTGTGTATAGGTTACCTTAATTATATGTTTCCAACATAACTAGGGATCTCCTAGCATATATACCTTGTAATATACACATTATTATCATTGGAAATTAATCAATCTTTCCGATAACACTGTTCGTACTCTCCTTTTCCAAGCAAATCTCCCCCCCAATTCTGGGTGGAAGCCCTCCATATGGCCACTCATCTCTTCAACCTTCTCCCCACCACCACTCTCCAAAAACGCACACCTCATGAAGCCCTATACAACTCCCCCCATCATACAACCACCTTCGTGTCGTTGGATGTCTTTGTTACCCCAATTTATCCGCCACAGCACCCCACAAACTAGCCCCCCGTTCTGGGCGTTGCATTTTTCTTTGCTACCCCGAGTCTCAACGTGGTTACCGGTGTTTGGACTTAGCCACTCAGAAAATCATTGTCTCTCGCCATGTCATCTTTGATGAGTCCACTTTCCCTTTTGCACCGTCACAATCCCCGTCCAGTTACCACTTCCTCGACGCCATGGAGGATTGCGTTGCCCCGCACCATCATCACCTCCAATATCAAAATCCCCATACTCCCAACCCAATATCCCAGCCCAACTCTCCAGATCCCACCCCCCTTTCCCGCTCGGCCCACCCAATCCCACCCACTCCCCAGCCCCACAACCCCCACGGCCCTCAACTCAATCCCAATTCCTCCACGGCCCACNCCACTCCCTTCACCCGATACAGCCCCACTCCCTCTCCCCACACATCCCATGATCACCCGTGCGAAGGCCGGTGTCTTTTGCCCCAAACAAATCCTCAACCTCAACACCGTTGCCGAGGTCTCCCCTATTCCCCCCACATACCGTAGTGCACTCAAAGATCCAAACCGGTACAATGCTATGAAGGATGAATATAATGCTTTGATTGCTAATAATACATGGGATTTAGTACCCCCCTCCCCAAATCAAAACCTTATCTCTGGAAAATGGCTCTTTAGACACAAACTTAGCCCCACAGGTGAACTGTCCAGGTATAAGGCACGTTGGGTTGTCCGTGGGTTCAATCAGCGCCATGGCATTGATTATGATGAGACTTTCAGTCCGGTGGTTAAGCCCGCAACCATACGCATCATCCTCAGTTTGGCAGTCTCTCGCGGGTGGAGGATCCACCAACTAGATGTCAAGAACGCCTTTCTTCATGGGTCTCTCACAGAGACTGTTTACACAGCCCAGCCATCCGGGTTTCAGGATCCTGATCGTCCACACTATGTCTGCAAACTGAACAAGGCGCTCTATGGTCTGAAACAAGCACCGCGTTCTTGGTACCAGCGTTTCACAGGTTTCCTTCTCTCCCTCGGATTTCGCGGTTGCAAGAGCGATACCTCCTTGTTCACTTATGGGCAAGGATCACAGATGGCGTTCTTGCTTCTATATGTAGATGACATCATACTCACAGCCTCCACCCAGGCACTTCTTCAGTCTATCATCCAGCGACTGAAGGGCGAGTTTGCTATGACGGATATGGGGGATCTTCATTTTTTCCTGGGGATCAATGTCCAGCGCAGACTCAGTTCCTCTACGACATTCTTGAGCGCGCCGGCATGGTATTGTGTAAATCAGCATCTACCCCCGTTGACACTCGTGGGAAACTTTCGGCCTCCGCAGGCCCCCCAGCACCAGATCCTACCTTGTACAGGTCTATTGTAGGGGCACTACAGTACCTTACCTTCACCCGTCCTGACATCACTTATGCCGTCCAGCAGTTGTGTCTTTTTCTTCATGACCCACGCCTCCCTCATGTCACAGCAATGAAACGGGTGTTACGATATCTTCATGGGACACCCTCCCACGGCATTTCCATATCTCCGTCCCCCACAGACTTTATGCGGGCTTACTTGGATGCTGACTGGGCGGGCTGTCCTGACACTCGCCGATCCACCACTGGTTACTGCATTTTTCTCGGCGACAACCTCATCTCCTGGTCCACCAAGCGTCAGCAAACCACGTCACGATCGAGTGCTGAGGCGGAGTACAGGGCCATAGCGAATGCAGTCGCGGAAGTCAGCTGGGTGCGTAACTTACTTCAGGAACTCCAGCAACCTCTCACCCGGTCCACCCTGGTGTTCTGTGACAATGTCAGTGTCGTCTACCTTTCTGCCAATCCTGTCAAACACCAGCGTACGAAACACATTGAGGTTGATATACACTTTGTCCGAGATAAGGTGGCTCTCGGACACATACGGGTTCTCCATGTTCCTTCCTCGTTGCAGTATGCAGACATTTTTACAAAGGGTCTCCCAACCATGATCTTCACAGAGTTCCGTGATAGCCTGGGAATCCGGAAGTCGTTGCCAGTGCCGTTGGGAGCATGTTAAATATAGTGTTTCTATATTTAATATATTGTGTAGTTATTATTGTATATTGTATATACTAGTTACCATGTGTGTATAGGTTACCTTAATTATATGTTTCCTAACATAACTAGGGATCTCCTAGCATATATACCTTGTAATATACACATTATTATCATTGGAAATTAATCAATCTTTCACTAATGCACTACACCCAAATTCAGTAATCAACCATTAGAATGGGGCAGAGTTACAAAGTACCAATATTAGTAAAAGGAACTTGATTTACTAATAATCGGCCAACAAAGAAATATCTGATAGAACCTTCTTGAGATCCTGGCGGGGAAGGTTCGACAGGGAGAAGAATTTCGTGGCATCGCCACCGGTGATGCGTCCATCTCCATCTGTCAAAATTTCAGAAATTGCCACTTTACCAGTGTGATATTCATAAGATATTCGTTGCCCAAGATAACAGAATCTAAATAAAAAAAACACGAAGAATATGAGCAGAAGGTTTTAGAAACCAGAAGTTGGATGAGGGAGAAGAACCTGAATCGGCACATGAGAACCATTCCTTATAGATCCTCAGGTGCTCTTTAGAACAACGGCTTATGGGAGCTGCGTCGATCTCCATGGACGAAGTCAAGCTCAGAAGAACCTGAATCAACAGCAAACTAATTTTAAATCCTACCTCTATAAGAGCACTGGTAAATGGTAATGGTTATGAAGCCCTGAGATGCTTCAAACTTTCTCACCGACCTCCGCTTTAACTTACACCCAAAATTTACTAGAAATGGTTTTGAAGCCCGGGGCTTCAAAACTGAACTTTAAACCTTCATTTTTTACATTTTTAAATATACATCTTCTAAAATTAAATTAATAATATGTAATTAATTTATTATTTAATTAAATTGAAACACGAATAATAAAAAAATACATTAATTAAATAAAAAAACGACAATATTTAAAAAAAACTACAATATTTTAAACCAAGAAATAAATAGACAATCAGAAATGAGCTTTAGTCCAAATAAAAATAACGTTTCTTTATTTGGACAAAAAATAAAAATGTATAGTTTGAGACAAATAAATTGTGCATTAATTCTTTGATTTCTGGTTTTTAAAACATTATAAAAATAAAATTAAAAAAAAACTTAAAACATTTATTAAAAAAAAGAAAAGAAAAAAGAAAAAATAAAGAAAAAAAGAGATGGGCGGGGAGGGGAAAGGAATGACGCTGCGTCATTCCTTTGACGCACGCTGGTTCACGCCCCTTTCACGCCGGAGGGGGGCGGTGTTTCACGCCCCGGGGCGTTAAACGCCCCTTCACGCCGGCGGGCGTGATGAGTATTACCTGTGCTCTAAAGGTGGACTGAATATGGACCAAAATTCCTTTTTTTTATTTGGAAATATTGTTTACAATAGTGTCAATTTTATTCAATTTTTCAAAAATAATCTCACATTTTACTATGAGATTTACGAATTTTGGGTCGTCTTTACGATACTAACGGTGAGTTAACGAAAACGGTATGTTTTGCGCAACAAAATGAAAGTTGAGATTATTTTTAATAAATTTTCATTTTTTTAATTTTTTTGAAATTTTCATTTAAACTTTTAAAATAACTTTCTACCTCCATCTTTTTTTATAAAGATTAGTCTAACTTTGGATAAAAATAAAAAATAGATATAAAAAATAATGAAAATAAAAAAAATAACTAAACTAATACAAAATAAAGAAATAAATAAGGTAATCAATAGAAATTAACCTTAAACTAAAAGTAAGAAATAAAATAAAAATATACAAAAATGTAAGTTTTAACATTTTACGCACTATACAGAGTATTAATGTACATTTTCTTATTTTTAAGAAAAACTATCTAGAATAATTCTAATTTTACCTATTTTTTCAAAAAATCAAAAACTAGTACGTTAATACTTTATATAATGCGTAAAATGTTAGAACCTTTCACTCCTTATATTTTTATTTTATTTCTTTCCATTTTCAGTTTAATTTGTATTGATTACCTTATTTATTTCATTAATTGTGTACTTCCTGCAACAGAAAATGTTCTTCTCATTTGACTTTTCTTGGTCAAAGTTTATAAATTTTGATTCTGATATGTGAAAAAACATATTGTATTATGATATAATTTTTTTATCAATATATTCTTATTGAAACGTAGTTTTTAAATATCATTTTTTTAAAAAAAAAATATCTGTGTATAAATATAGGTATTAATGATCAAAGTGTAACATTGGAGACCGTAAAAAGTCAAATAGAAAGAACATTCTCGAACGGAGGGAGCATAGTTTTAGTTATTTTTCTCATATTTGTTATTTTTATATCTATTTTTTATTTTCTTCTAAGGCAAGACTAATTTTTTTAAAAAAGAAATGGAGGTAGAAATTCATTTTAAAAATTTAAATGAAAATTAAAAAATGAAAATTTATTAAAAATATTCTCAGCTTTCATTTTGTTACGCAAAACAAGCCGTTTTTGTTAACCAGCTGTTAGCAATTTAACTGCGACCCAAAACTCACAAACTTCAGTAATTTTGGGAGTACTGTGCTTCAGACATAAAGGTGAGATTGTTTTTGAAAGATCGAATAAAATTAGATTTATTCTGGATAATTTTTCCTTTTTTTATTTTGTGGTAGAATAGAAGAAGGAACACATAAACAACCCTTTAAATTGTTTGTGCACAATTAGTCAATATAATATTAGACTCTTATTTTGAATTACGAGTAGAAATTACAAAATCATTGAGTAAATTAAATGAGGCATGGTAAGGTGAGCGCCGAAGATGTATATGCTGCACTATGAGGTTTTTTAATTAAAAGGCTAAAAGTTGTCAACATATAAAAGAAAGTAAAAGTGTGGAGTGTAGATAAAAAATATGGAGTGCAAATATCAACTCCCATATATGTATCTATATGTACATATGTGTGTCAAAACATACCCTAGAATTATTAATGAAATTATTTTACAACAACAAACACCTAATTTACCCTCACGCTTATAATTTTAAACTGCTGAATTCTTCCGGAAGAATATGGAGCAGCTCGATCCACGATTTTAGACAAAAACCTACTCAGGATGAGTAGTTTTTCCGTCAACTGCTGGACTTTCATTACGTTTCGATGGGCTTCCATCTCAATGATGGCTCAAACCTTCTCCGGGTTTGGCTCAATCCCTCTTATACTAACTATATATTTCAAAAACTACCCTACTAGCACCCCAAAAGTATACTTCTTAGGGTTAAGGCGTAAGCTATATTTCTTCATTATATTATTTCAAACACTTTCCTTAGGTTTTGGGAATGCTACCTTGCTTGTTGAGAAATTGGGGAGGATCTAGGAATTAAACATCCCATGTCAAATAAAATAATATAATATATTTTAAAAAATATTAAATTCAAAAATTTTAAATAAAATAAACTAACAAATAAATAAAATAAAATTGAATTGATAAAACCACCACACCTTCAAGAATGTGATAAGGTTGTGCTCGCCTCACCGAACGGGTGGTAAGAACAGTTCTCGCCACTACGGTGTATGTGAGAGAAAGAGAGAATGAGGTAGAAATCACCCTAAATAAGACTAAAACATAGAAAAAGTACCAAAATAAGACTTTCATATTTTTATTCCCGAAATAGGAGTTAGTACTGTTGTAATGTAGAGGTAATGTGAAACTATATACATGCACATTGCTATATTTTTTGGTAATGTCAATGACCGCGTTTGGTAATGTAAATGCATTTCAACTCTAATTGTGAGATAAAAAATGAAAGTCTTATTTTGACATATTTTCAATGTTTTATTTCTAATTTAGTCTTTTTTCTAATATGGAGAGGCAAGGTAGTGGTTTATACGTTCTAACGGTAGTATTTATAGGTTCGGAATTTTGAGCTCCGTAATTAAATAATGTACCTTGCTAAAAATTAACCTTTCGGGCCAACTTGCTTCGAATTTAAATCCATTTGACCGCTGGATTCGTCTCGTCGAACCCTATAAATATTTAAATAAACTCCGAATCCGTCTCAATAATTAATTAATTACTTTTAATTAATTATTTCTAATAGGGCCGGATTTGACGATTTTACAATTTGGGATATTTTGTCCTTATATATATACTCCCTCTATCCACAAATAAACTTTACGTTCACTATTCACAGGGTCAAACTTCATTCACTTTGTTAGCCTATTTTCGTCACCCATTTGATAAAATAATGTAGTCATGTCAACTCCAGTTTTATAGATTTTTTGATATAATTTTTTAATATGTAATTTTTATTTTTCAATTCTACACAATTTTTCATATAAAATGATTTGAAAATAATATCAGTCAAATATCGTAACGCGCAACGTAAAGTTTATTTGTGGACGGAGGGAGTATATATGTGTGTCTATATATATATATATATATATATATATATATATATATAGGGGTGTAAACGGATAATATCCGTTTCGGATGTATTAAAACCGTATCCGAATCCGATTAGCAAAATCGTTATCCGAATCCGCATCCGTATCCGACGGATGTCTACGATACTAAATCCGAATCAGAATCCGGCGGATACGGATGCGGATTCGGATATATCCGCATCCGATGGAGCATCCGACTAGTAAAAAATCCGAATCCAAATCCGTTTCTAGATTCGATAAAACATCCGATTCACAAGGAAAAACCGTATCCGTATCCGAAAAAACATCCATCCGAATATCCGAATATGTAATATGAAAATCTAAAAATCTAAAATCAACCAAGCACAACCAAAAGCTTTACATCCTTAACCAAGTTTCTGAATCTACAAATCAAACAACAAAAAGATTTGACCTTGCAACAACCAACAAAAATTGTAAAACATGAAATCTAAATTTGTAACCAAAAAGTAAAATCAGTTAAATCACATCATGAGGTGCTGAGCTGAAGCCGCAGACTCGCTGAAATGGTCGCTAGATTCGGAAAATAGCTGAGGAAGACGACGCCGCTAGGTCAGTTGGTCGCTGGATGCTAGTTCCGGAAAAAAGTGCTCCGTATTAGGTATTATTTAGGTTTAATCAATACCCCAAGTCTCAAAAGTGGTTTTGGGCCTAGGCTTAGTGGGCTGAGTAGAAATTAGAAAACTAGGAGTATACTTTATACATAAAAATATTAATTAGTTTAAACTACGGATAATTTTTTTTAACTACGGATAATTTTTTATTACCTATATTTGGTATAACGGATCGGATAATTGGATATGCGGATATATAAACGGATGTATACACGGATCGGATTTTAAACGGATCGGATCAGTAATTACCAAATCCGCATCCGTTTATCAATCGGATGTGCTTAATCGGATACGGATAATATCCGTTTAAAACAGATGCGGATTTTTTCCATTTAAACGAATACGGATGCGGACGGTAATTGGATTTTCGGTTATCCATTTACAGCCCTATATATACATATACATATACATATATATATATATATATATATATATATATATATATATATATATATATATATATATAAAGATTTTAAATTACGGAGTAGTAAGGAAGGACCAAAAGGCCAAAACAAAGCAGCGCCTGCACTATTAATAATAATTACAATGAATACATTATTAACTAGGAATATAAAATAAATATCATTCCCCAATAGAACTTAGAATAAAAGATTGCCCCAAAATCTATTTAACTATTCTTCATCTCTGATTCAATTATGCTCCCATTCTTTCCTTCTTCAAATCAATTCCCTGTTGGGTACTCGCAACTTCCAAACTCTGCAAGTTACAAATGAAGCCGTCTTTTGAGTTACAAATAAAAAGATATAGTAATTCAAAAGCAAATAGTGCGAGTACAAATTTGGGGTAGTTTACCTTAAAACATATTTTGACCAAATTTTTTTCCAATTCAAAAACTAGGTCGGTTGATTAAGTTATGAGAGGTGTACCCCATTTGTACGCCACCCCTTTCATAACCACTCATTTATTTTTTATTTTTATTTATTTATTTTTTTTAAATTTCTTATCTATTTACGTGGTAATGGAGGGGGTGGTGTACAAATGGGGTACACCTTTTGTACAAATGGGGTGGTGTACATAATCTTTTTAGATATTTTCAGATATAATAATGGGTCAAATGTCTCTAATATCTTTAAAAAAAAGTAATGTAGACTTGGACACATTTATTTTATTTTTTTTCAATTCAAAATATTTAAAAAAAATTAAACTGAGTATATAATTTAAAAAATAAAAACTGGGCAATATTATATTGTGGTAAATGGAAAGGATAAGAGAAGAAGTTGAAAGAGATGAAGAAGAGGGGGGAAGCTTACTGGGAGTCTGGGTGACGACATAGGCGGCACCGTCAAAGTGACACGTGCCGGAAGCGCGTGAATTTTTCTGATAGTAGCTGTTGAATGCGTAAGAAGCATGGGCGTCGATCGTATTGGGGTAGTAGCAGGCGGCCTCCGGCTGGATCTCCGTGCAATCCGCTCCTCCCTCTCCGCAGGCGTAGTCCAGCGCCGCCTGCAGCCTCTCCCTCCCGACGTCGGCGCGTGCCACGCACCACGTCTGCCCCGCCGCCGCCGGCGGCACTACCTGGACTTTGCTTCCGTTGTTAACGGGCCCGCTCTCCAGGCCCAACGGGATGCTATACACCTTATCCTCGTTCGGGTAGAAAAGCCCGTAGTTCCTCTCGGATGTGGGTCCCGGCTTCTGGTCCTCGTTGAACAGTGCGAACAGGTAGACGCTGAGGGGCATGTCGGGCCTCAAGGGGGTCCCGCGGCACGTCAGCACTCGCCTCACCAGATTCCCGTTGTACGCCTGCGCGTTGGCCGCACTCGCGCCGGTCTCGCCCTCGTCCCCCTTCGACGGCCACCCGGTTTCCGAGACCACCAGCTTCACGTCCCCGAACCCGGCGGCGCTCGCGGCGGAGTAGACGGCGTCCAGCTGGGCGTCCAGCAGGCTTTTGTAGACAATGCCGTTGGAGGGGTCCACCACGCCCTGGTTNTTGAAAAGATTGATCTGGCGGATGGGAGAAAGAAAAAGAAGAAAAGAGGAAAAGGAAGAACATGAGGAAGGGGGGGAGTGGGAGAGAGAAGATTGAAATGGAGAAGGGTATTTTTGGAAGAGTGTGGGTTAAAATTAAAAATGTGAACTTTATTTTTGGACGGAGAAAAAGGAGAAACGTAAACTTTATTTCCGGACGGAGGGAGTATTATTTACACTCTTTCTTCTAAAATATTTTACATTTTAGTAAAATAAAATTGAAATTTTTTAAATTTACTTTATTTAAATATTGATATACTCCGTAAAAATTATTTAAAAAATTACATATTTAAAAAATCACATAAAAATTTTACAAAACAAAAGATGACAAATATATTTTATTTTATCAAAAAAATCAATTATAATGTACAAAAAATAAAAGTTTCATTGACTTTTGAATAGTAAAAAGTATAATTTTTTGGTGACGTAGGGAGAATTACTTATTTTTATTGAAATCAGATCAAAAATAAGTTTAAATATCAGTATAATTAAATCACATCAGATCAAATCATATCAGAATTTTTTCTAATCATATGAGGTGAAATGTAAGGTGACTTTACTCATATATAAGTATCTAGTTTGCTTTACGTATCAAACATTTTACTAATTATATTTAAAAAAAATAATAAATTAAAATATAAAAAGAGTAAATTCTATAAAATGGGTTTTTATAATATGAGAAGTTCCATATTCAGTTTTAAATTCTAAAATATTATATTCGTGGCCTTCAGTTTTTGAAAATTATTTCATAATTAGTCTTATAAGTCAAATATGACCGATTTTTTTCACGTATAATCCTAACAGACTGATTATGATATAGTTTTTAAAAACTAAAGATGCCGAATGTAAGATTTAAAAATTATGGACTAAATATAAAAAAAACCATGTATAGAATTTTCTCAAATAACAATCATGCCATAATATTTGTGTCGAAAAAAACTTTTAATATGTTTTTTATATTGTTTACCAATGCCAGATATATTTTAAGAGAATAATGTTCAAACATTCAACTCAAATGTTTGGAAACAATAAAATATGTTTGAAAAAAAATGTTGAAATAAATGGAATATATTGAAATGAACATTATATTTTTTCAATTAATACTCCTGTATATTTTTATTATAATAATTTAAACTTCATTTTAATAATCTCTTTTCATTTTTATATATGTTAAACTATTTTTTTTTCAAACCACGCGGAATATTTTTTGGGTCATACTTATCATTATATGTTCTTAAACATTTTAATCAGTATTAATAGTAAAAATCTTTATTTATTAACTTTTATGTTACTAATCCAAGTACCAAAAATAATGGAAAAATGAAAAAACACACGCACAAAGAGTCAATGCTTTCGCTGGGGCTCGGTTGCTCGAACATAAATGAACTTTCCTCAAGAATCCTGAGAAGTTTGAGATACTATTTTGTTGATCTTAATTAAACAAACAATTGACATAAATAATCTAATGATATATCAATCAACCAAGAAACATAATTATGGAATATTACAAAGTACAAATGGAAATATAATAAATTTGAGTAATTGATTTAATATTTTATATTGACTGTATAATGGTAACTAACGTCTATTTTGGTGACAAATAAAACATTTTCTTTTATAAAAACTATGATAATGCTTCAATTTTTATTTTGTTTTGTTTACAATGACGATGATGATAATGAAAATAATAATACTAGTAATAAAATAATAATAATAATAATAATAATAATAATAATACGGGTTATATATGTTTTTAGTCCTTGTAAAATATGTCATTTTTGTTTTTTGTCTTTGTAATATTTTTTTTGTTAAATCATTGTTATAATTGTTTTTATTTTGAAAATGGGTAGAAGATTATTCTCTTGACTTTTTTATAAGAAATCTCAAATCCCAAAGTATATGAAATATACTTTGCGATAATCCTCGATTTTCAGTAAAAAAATCTCAAGTCTCATATTATACGAAATATATTTCGGGGTTTTTAGATTTTGTGATATTATACTTTGAGAGTACACTTCGTCCATTTAGAAATTATGATTGAAAGTTTAGTTACTTTGGCAATTGAATGACTTTATTAAAAGTTTAATAAGATAATGATTATTAAGGTAAAATTTAGTATTTGTCAAACTAACAAAATTTTTAATCTTAATAGTCAAATAGAAGAATGTATTCTCGGAGTACATTATCACAAATATTAAGGATTCCCAAAGTTTATTTCAGACAATTTGGGTCTTAGGAGTTAGGAGTTTTTATAAAAAAAAAATTGAGGTTACCCTGAAGTATAATTCAAATAGTGTGAGATCTAAAAATTCTTCACAGAAAATTGAAGATACCATAAAAGTAATTTTCTAGAAAGTGGTCATTAAACAGAATTTGCACTTCTAATTTCATGTCATAAACTGTATCATTATTTGTACTACATCTCTAATTTCCAAATATTTTTGGGGGAAAAGGTCTAGACTTAGAGTAAGACATGAAGAATGTACCAAAATAAAAGTTTTATGTTTTTCATTCCAAAATAAGAGTTACAATGCTAATAATTTCACTACATAATACCAAAAAACATAGTGGGTCATATAGTGTCATAATGTTACAATTCAATTTCTTATTTTGAAGTTAAAAATATAGAAGTTCTATTTTGAAATTGTGCTTCCATGATTCTAAGGTCTACATGTAAAATGTGAACTTTTTCACACTTTTCATGGGCCAACACGAGAATATTTTAAGTTTTTAGAAAGCTTAATTCATCTTTGGTATTTACTACACTAACAATCATAAAGTGAGGTCACGTTTTCTTCATCTGATATGATTGGAATAAGTTCTGATGTGATCTGATCTGATATGATATGATCTGAATGTAGTTGTATTTAAAACTATTTCTGATATAATTTGATCTGATCTGATTATAATAAGAATAAGTAATAAGTAAAAAAGTAAATTAAGAAAAATATTGCGTGAATGTGGACCATCGTAATACTGAAGAAATTGACACTTTTTTTAGGATAAATACTATATTTTACTCTTATTTAGAGTGATTTTGTTATAACATAATTTAGAAATTAGAGATGTACTCCGTATTTCGTTGAATGATATGAGAAGTGCAAACTACGTTTAAGGATTATTTTCAAAATAAAATTTTTTGAGTGGATGTCTTAATAAATTTTTTTATAGAGTCCGAAAACAAAAGTTTCATATTTACAAAATAAAAAATGTATTTAACTCTAATAATGATAATAATAATAATAATAATAATAATAATAATAATAATAAAATGTAATGAGATCAATATAAAAAATGTTGAAATTTAACTTGTTTTGGTTGCACGAAGTTTGGCAGAGGGATCCACGGTCTTCTTCGAATCAGCTGCGTGTCTCGAGCTTACCGCACCGAAAGAAGAAAAAAATGGACGGCGTCGGGTCGAGATTCGGGCGGTCTTCGTCGAGGTACAGCTCAGCGCCACCTTCGACGGTGTTCGACGGCCCCGTCAGGAAATGGAAGAAGCAGTGGGTTAGCACTCAGCCCGCTACCCCTCGCAACAGCTGTAATAAGGCTGGGGCCGTTATCTTCCTCTGCCGCTGGATTCCTCTTCCCTCCGCCACCCCCACCGACTCCAATCGCCCTCAAATGTCCTCTAAACGGAAGTTCCGATATGCACCGGTAAGCCTTTCCCGGCAAAGAAAAGCGCAAGTGAACTTAGGCCCCTTTTGGTACTTGAATTCAAAGTATGGAATTGGAATTGAAGACTTCAATTCCAATTCTGGTGTTTGGTAGCAAAAAAACTTATGTGAATTTAGAATTGATAGTGCAAAAAATGAATTGGAATTGCTGGATTCAATTCTATGGAACTGAATCTCATAGAATTTCAATTCCAATTCAATTCCAATTCCTTCCATTCTGTATACCTCCCGTATACCAAATGGCTATTCTTTAACTCGTTTTTTTGTTTATTTGTTTCTGACGTTCATTTAGGGTTTTGTTCCTAGTGATCGAAAAAGCCGTACAGCAACTAACAGTAGATATTTGTGTTAGCTGTTTGAGTAAATGTATGTATCATCTCTTGCATTTAGTAAGATTAAGTGTTTGGGTTTTTTTTTTGCATTATCCAATAAGTTGTTCTATAAAGTTGTTAACCAAACAATTTTACTAGCTATTTGACCTTAGTCAAACATTTCATTTCTCTAATAATCTTGTTTCCAAAACACACCCTATGTTTTGGGTTGGTGGGTGTTTTAGCTTTGAGGGCTACTAGGAACCACTGTGTGATTGATTGCAGGAGAAGTTGGTTTTTGGATTTTGATGTCCGAATCGCGGAAAGGGAGTGATGGAGGTTCTATATGTGGTGGCTATTAGCAGTATTTATGAGGACTAATTTTGTTTTGAATGATTTTGAACTACTCCGTACATTATTGCATCCGAGTACTCCTTTCCATATGTGAAAAGATAATTTTTGAAAATATTAATTTCAGAAATTTCAAGATTGAGTATCTCATTTTAGGTGTCTGAATTGGAGGTTTGGTGCTAGCCTTTAACCTCTCATCCACCCCCCCCCCCTCCTCTCTGCAAAAAATGCACTTATCTTTTCTCATTTATAAGCAAGTAATAGCTAATGCATTATGCTTCAAAAAAAAGCTAATGGATTATCTTCCTCCAAATTCAAGATTGTAGATATGGAAGAAAAGAAAAGGGAAATTGATAAGAAAGTTGAGAACGAAGAAGGTAACACGAGAAGTATTGACAAATCTAACTCCGATGCAACACTTGGAAGTGGTCCTATTTTGAAGAAACAGAACATCAATGACATCTTCAATGCAGATTTTCAGGTAGTTTGTTAATGAGTTGCTATGACATGTTTTTTGTCCATTGCAAATGGAGCAAAAAAGTCATTACTGACCATGTTTCATTTTTGAATAAATAATGGGCTAAATCAAAATGGAACATTAAATCCCTATTATAGTCTAGGAAGTTTGGGGTGGTAAATGCGGCAATGTATCAAGGGCCTACCAAAAATACTTTATGCACGAGTAAGGCTGCATATGTTTTGACCCTCACAGTGCAATGGAGTTAGAGGGTTGTGTTGGGTTTGGTTGTTGTTACTATGACATGTTTTCCATGGTCACGTCCGCACCCACAAATGAATCAATTTTTTCTTTCAATGTTCTTAGGCCATCAAATCTTTGTCTTCACGCAATATGGAAAATGTTGTTCCGGTGCACTTTAATGATTGCCCACTATGATTCGTAATATGCAGGAAGCAAGCAGGAGCAAATTACATCCTAACAAAAAAGCAAGTCGGAATTCACCTAATATGAAAGAGGCCGTGGATGTTGAGAGCACAAGGTCTTCGGTTTAACTTTATAGGATGATCAACTGATTTCTCACCAGTATTATAGGAAAACTAAATGGTTAGCACCACGTACTTGTGTTTCTGTTGACGCCTTGTTAAATCCTTGCGATGTGATAAAGGTGGTTAGTGGTTAGGAGTTGGTTATGGTTGTTATGCCAATTAGCTGTATAAATACCCCTCCCCCACCCTCTCTGTAACGGGTTATCAAGAAATGAAATAACAATTCTCTTCCTCGATATACTAATTGGCATAACAACCACAACCAACTCCTAACCGCTAACCACCTATATCACTATGGATATTGGATCCCCTTTGTATGTAATCAGGAGTTATGGTAGGTTATACTGCTGAGATGTAAATATAATAAGCTCCTAGTAGATGTGATTTATGCTTTGTTATCTTCTTTGAGCGTATCCCACCCGTCCCTCTCATCTTCATTTTTCTAAATTCCTTTTCCAATTGTATGCAACCCACTGTAGATTTTTTTATATATATTTGGAGCAGAAGGGTCAAGTCCTCAAGCTCAAGGGCCACAACTCCCATGAGGATCAAATGTCATTTGCACCAAGGACAGGATTTCTGTGTTAGAATCTACTGATATGATCATCTATCCAAGGGGTTTGTGATATTTATTTTGGGACATCCAAATCCAAATAAAGAAAATATGACTTTTTTTATGGATAGATAGTACGGAGTATTTGTTATGTTCAGAATGACTGGGTTTTAGTATTGCCATTTGCATAAAATTAGTAATTTGGCTTTGCATGAACTTTGAGATTTGGTTGTATTATGTGTACACAAATCCGAATCATCCGATTGAGGTGGAAAGGATTTTCTACGGAAAGGCAATGACACCTATGTAAGTTTTATAACTTGGCAAATTTTTGCATGGATCTAAAGTCCATGGTGGACCTAAATATATGCAAGATAAACATTTGCTAAATGTTGAAATAAGCATTTTCTTTATATAATAATTTAAAAATATAAAAAATTGTGTGAGTAGGAAGTCCATGTGAACCATAAGCTCACCATAGAACCAAGAGAAATGGTTCCATATTTTTGGAACCAAGAGAAAACACTGAGACTATGTTTGGTTCAAGGATTTCAAAAAAAAAACAAAAAAAATAATAATTTTCTCTTATTTTCCTCAATAAAATGAGAGAAAATCTATTTTTCCTCTTAATACATTTTGTTTTCTCATTTTTTTTCCTTCTAACCAAACAAGATAATTTGTTTTCCATCTCATTTTCTTTTCTTTTCCCTTTCAAATTCCTTGAACCAAACATCGTGTTAGGGAGGGAATTAAAACTTATCAACAAAGAAAAAGAAAGAATCAAATAAAGTTAATCAATGATTTAAAGCCATATATACTTGTATGACACCATTGAGGCTCATTCAACTATAATGATGGTACAAAACAATTGAGTGTACTGTGTGTAGTGTTTACTACACCTGAACAGCTAACAGCTCTGGTAGAGTCTGAGATGTGGTGTGGCCTAGTCAGTCTCAGTCATAAGGGTTCCTGAAATTCTTCAGAAGCTCAGGGATGTCATATCCAAGCATTTCATCCACAGCTTGTACCATTTTAGGCTTCAACTTCTCAAACTTATCCATGTTGTAGCCACTCAGAATTTCCTTGAAGTGTTCAACATTTGGGAAATCCCCAGCAGGCAGATGTTGTTCCCTCTGAACCTGTTTGGTGTTGCATTGTAGTATTTTTTTTTAATTTTTTTTATTTGCATCAGAATGAGAGAGAGAGAGAGAGATGGCGAGAATGACCTTTGCAAATTCATCAGCCAAGTTATCAATAAGTCTCTGTTGAGCTTTGGCTTTGCCCATCATTGCAGGCATCTCCTTCTTCAAGTGACTGATGATATACGCGTGGATCTTGGCAGCTCTGGCACGCTTCACAAATTCATTTATCTGGGCGCTCACGAAAATAGTTGGTCTCTTTTATTTCATTTTCCAAACACAATAATCATAATCTGGACTCCAAAAATAAAACAGAAAAACATAACATACGCGGCGATCACAAGCTTTCTTTGGTATGTCTCTCAAGTCACTCAGTAAGTCATCTTGTTCCTTTTCAAAAAGCTCTTTCCCAAGCGGACCAGTAGCAGCCTCATTTATAGGCTTGTCATTGAATGACCTGCGCAAAAGGTACATAAAAAAGAATCAAAACAAAGCAGCCAAAGAACCTCCCTTTTCAAATGCATGCATGCAAATTCAGTCATCAATACCCAATGTAAACACGCATGACCTCGGGAGTGTTAAGGACTTTGCCCAAGGACCACATCAATGCCCCATAGACCCGCATAAGCTGCAGAATTCAAGGAGAGTCAAATTAAGCCGCAGACTTATACACCAAACAGCAATGTAGGTTTGTATTGATGTGTAGGAAGTGGAATTATGTACAACTAGAATCTTTAGTCCACAACATAAGAGGCCTCACTTGTTGAGTATCAACTTGATCGGCCTTGTTTAGAACAACCCTTATCTTATCGTCATGGCCTCGGAGAGAGGAAATTACACGTTTGAACTCATCACTGATATCAAGTTTGTGAGGATCAAATAACAATAGGATGAGGTCACACTTGGCAGCAAACCAAGATGTCACACCAGTAAAGTCATAGCTCCGTTGTGTTCTTTGCTTTTCTCCAGATAAAACTCCAGGAGTATCAACAAATGTAATGTTCTCCAACAGCTTTTTTGAGCATTCAAAACACACAAAAAAAAACAAAAAAAGAAGAAGATACAATAAATCTATATCTGAGGAGGAAAGATTCAAGTTGCTATCTTCATTTATGAGAATCCTTTTGGCACAACTGAGATATGGCTAGTAACTCACAGGATGAGGCATTTGAGAACATTCAAATTTTGACAAAAATGCTGTTCCGAATGTTGTTAGACCACTGAATGGCATGTCTGCTTGAACGGCAATTGTGTTCCCTGGAATACTTCTTTCATCAGGTCCATTCTGTAATATACATACAGTAAAGAGTAAACACTATGAGTGGAAAAATTTATACTAATACGTAATAAACAATATACCATGACAATAATATGGGAAGAGCTTAATAAGCATTAGGCTGATATTTAAATAAGAGAATGTTAGTTACTAAGACGTCCATTGCATTGGGTAAATAGACTAAATCCAAATAGAACATTAAACTTCCTTTACTTCTTATTTCAATGAAGTTTTGGGAAAAGTTCACATTACCATAACAACAACAAATCTATCTGTTGTAGGTTCCGGCCCAATGTGAGCTCCTGCGATCATAAAATATCATGTAAATTCCAATAGCAATTTATTAAAGTGGTTTTGATAATAAAATTTTAACACAACTTGCAGACAATAAGCACAAAATTATAGGAAAACCTGGATAACTGCTCCTAAGCAGATGCTTAATAAAAGTTGTCTTCCCCGTAGAATATTGACCCAAAAGCATCACCATCGGTTTAGCATCAAAGTCACTGTTTGTCTAATAACAAACAATACATACATCCGGAAATTATTTCTTCATGGCATTCTCTTTGAAAATAAGGTGTGACAGTATACTTGGATCCCACGAAAATAGGGTTTGAGGAGGGTGTGTGTACGCAGACCTTGCCCCTACTCGAAAGTAGAGAGGCCGTTTCAAAGAGACCCCTGGCTCAAGTTGCATAGATAAAAGATCATAGTAATGATAGAATTTAGGATGGGGTATGGGTCACTCACTGGTAATAAGGCACTTGGGCTGAATCACATTAAACGATAGAATCCAATCGATTATTAAGTTCAACTCAAGAGCTTATATACCGATTACTTTTCTATTCAACTTCCGATGTGCATACTCTAACACTCCCCATCAAGTAGACAACCGGGCTATTTTAAATCTAACCGGTAGACCACTTGCAAATGAATTCCCATCCCTTGATTTTATTTAACGCCATCACCTAAAGGACTATGAGCCGCTGGGTATGGATTTCTAGACGAGCAATCGGGTTAAACGAGTCACAGGTCGTTGGATTTTCATTCCATACGAACAACTGGGCTAAAGACTAGGACCGCTAGGAATAAACGTCTAGACGGACACCTTAACAAACGAGGTGGGCTAAAATTGGCTCCGATACCATGATAGAATTAAGGATGGGGTATGGGTCACTGGACTGGCAATTGATTGAATCCAATCGATGACTTAGTTCAACTCAAGAGCCTATAACGATTACTTTTTTATTTAACTTCCGATGAGGGATAGACTCTAACAAAGTAACAAGTAGATACATAAAGTAGAGAAAGCAAGGTGTGACAGTATAATAGAAGGGAAAGTAAACCCACCAATGAGGGAGATACAAATTCATTAAAGCGATATGTAACTTCTAGTGGCTTCAGATTCTGAATGTATAACTTTTTCAATCCATCAATTATTGATGTCACAGAGCTTAAAGAGACCTGAGGGGACCAAGACAAAGAAATATAAATTGGAAATCAAAGTGCTAAAAGAGTTGGGTAAGAGAGCACAATAACTGCTCATAAGAAGAATGACCAATAAGCAGCAACATATATCAGGTACTGAAGGGGAAGATAAATAAAAAGTATCCATTAGGTTTTTTATATAAAGGCAACCCATATAAGTAGTGAAACACCTTCTTTCAGCTAATGCAAAAAGGTCGAAAGCTAACTATATACTCCCTCAGTCCCAAAATGAAGTTTACCCTTTGACTTCATTCAGTTTCAAAAGAAGTGTTGAAAAATAAAAGGCGTTTAGTGAAAAGTGAAAGGTGTGTGGTTGAAATTTATTTGGAAGCAAGAGAAAGGATAAGAGACACATATTCATTTCCTAATAGAGAAAGTAGAGAAGTGTAAACTTCACTATGGGACATCTAAAAGACGAAAGTGGAAACTGCATTTTTGGACAGATCAGCCTAACTTACAAGGTCAGGATGATACAAATCTCTTAATAGGAATAATAGCTAAAAATTTATCCGTTTTAAAGGTCCCCTATGAAAAACAAATGAATTTAGGAATTCATATAAAATAATAAATAGTAAGAAACTGACAACACATTCAATATACAAATCCACTCAGGAACCTTACAAAAGGATGTAAATCGAGTGATAAGAGTTGAGATATTTGCCACAAATACGATCTAAAAGGATTGTCATTGAATAACTTATGTAGAACTAAACAGAAGCATTGGCATGACCTGGCCTATATGAAATGCGTGCCATCAATAATAATCAAGAGAAAACTGGCCTAGGCCACCCTCCCTTATTCAGCTAGTAAGTACAAAGAAAACTTATATTTTTCTCCAATTAATATTATATTATGTTAAACTTTGCACTCTATGTTCCATAGATAGCACTACATAAAATGCAAGCAACTCGGGGAAAATATTAAATAATTGGTGTGCCCAAGCTCTGGCTCGAAAAAGCTTATAGCTTATGGTAGGTTTAAGCTTGAACCCGAGATCAAACAAATTTGAAAGTTTGAGCATGGGTTGGATTTTTTAAATGGCTTGAGCTGAGTTCAACCAACTAGAACATAACAAAGCTTACAAGCTCGAGATTAACTCAAGTTTGTACCAAACCACCAATTTCGCATGTTGTTAGTATTTTCATTGGCCAGACAATTCACAAGTAAGCTTGAGCACAAATTGATCATTTAACGAGTTAGCTCATGCTTGATTACTTGAACTTGATCCAATTTGAATCAAGCTTTGACCAAACAGTTCAAGAATACTGACTAAATTGCACCTTCTGTTCATTAGTTCACACACGTAAATACAAATTATGTTCAAGAAATCAACTGGAAGGATTTTTCATCTTTCCCAATACACAAGGTCCGTATGACTTCTAATTTTCCAAATAAAAGGCTAGAGGCCAAACTTATAAGCACAAAATGTTTCTCATTCATATGACTAAAAAGACAATGTCAAAGCAATGTGAGAATCATTTATATAATCCTCTTAGTTATCTATGTTAAATATAAGTGTATCCAGATCTAGAACATAAATATCATGGATCAAGTCGTCAAAGCAATGATAAATTTCTGTGAAATAAAAAACAACATTTTCCTTTATCGTGAAGAAAAACCAAGGTTTTCTCAAAACGTAATTGAAATGAAATTCTTATTACTAGAAGACACGAATGAAAATTTTCAAGGTCTATTTCACACTCATATGTCAAAAACTTAGAGCATATGGTCCTACAAAAGTAATAATCTTGCTCTATTGCTAACTCATAGGTTTACACCATTTTGTGTTCCTACCCTTGATGATGTTCGTTCATTTCAAATGCATTCACTTCATGAGTCACTAAGCTTATGTAGCTCAAGAGTCATGCATGCGAGCATTAGACAGGCAATATCTAGCCCTTTGTTTTTATGCTAGTTAAAGTTCTTATAAATATCCTTTAGATGGGAGCCATTAGAAGCAAGTGGTTGAGGAAGAACACATTGGGCACACAAAATTTATTCTCTTGTTTGCGTATTATCCTAAAGTTTATGCATCAATCTAAAAGAATCAAACCATTGAGTTTGTCCTTCATTAGTATAGATTGCAATGAAATGTGTTAATAGTCATGAAAACAGCATATCATTGTAAGTATTCCGTAACTTTGAACTTCGCCAATTGTATAAACAAAACTACCACTATTTTATTCAAATTAATAGTGAGAGTTATTAACCATTTGTTCTCACAAAATGGAGAAGCATTCCATTTGTGTATTTTGCAATTCACTAATACTTCTCAAAGTAGATCATTGAACAATGAACAATATATTAACAATTGCTTCCATATGTTTTATTAAAAAAGGCGGTACATTTTAAATACAGTAAAAAATCATGTGGTCTATATAATCTCAAATATTGCGTAAATATTAATGAAACACAGTAATTAATTTGACAAAAAATCAATGTTGTACACGACCATAAGAAACAACAGAAATTTTTATGTTCCGTACTGAAAGCTTATAGAGAGACTAAATGGACCTTCTTTGCAGATTTTGACGACTGAAACCAACTAGCTGCTTGAGAGGAGGATTGTCTGAGAGGGCTGACTGCACCATTGAAAAATTAGTAAAATCCAGATGACCAGACACAACTAATGGAACAAGAAATAAGGGTTGAAAATAAAGATTGCTCTTGCATATACTCCGTATTATACAGAGTATATAGATTTGCAGAATAGTCATACCATTCAGCTCGGGTTCACTTTTTGGCACATGATTTTTCTGCTGTAAAACATATACATTGACATAGAAGTTCAGAGTTTGAATAATGATTTCATACTCGTCGGTCTAATTATCAACTACACTTACTTCCAGTAGTGTATCCAAACCTTCCATCCTTGGTGGCTCTAAGTTTTTGAAGTCAACTGCCATTGGTTGAAAATCTCACTGGTTAGATCAAAAGAGAAAAAGAATGCTGCTAAGAGATACAAATTGAGTAATGAAGGGATGAAGCTAATCTCTTGAGGTAGCATTAGAGTGCCTCCCCAAAGAACTGCAGCAAATTGAGAAAAGGCAACACAAAATTACACTAGTTACCTTTTGCATCCAAAAGATCAACGGTGATTTCTTGTCCAGCTTGGGCCAACGACACTAACTAAACATTGAAATGAGAAGAACTATCAGTTTTCAAAAAAATATACAATGCAAAAGGCAAAATTTCCAGACTAAAGAAAAGATCAGAACCTGCATAGCAATCACAAATTCATTAAAACCTAGATAACCTTGCCATTTTGAATCTGCAATTGCCCATACCTAAGGAAAAATGAAGTGAATTTAAAAAGATAGTAAACACATTTTTCAGTAGAATACACATTCCTGAAAGGAAAATAAGAAGAAGAAGGAAACTGGAAACATAACAAAAAAAACTAAAAAAGAAATGTCAGGATTAGTTTAGACAAATGCACTACACCCAAATTCACTAATTAACCATTAGAATGGGGCAGAGTTACAAAGTACCAATATTAGTAAAAGGAACTTCTTATACTAATAATCGGCCAACAAAGAAATATCTGATAGAACCTTCTTGAGATCCTGGCGGGGAAGGTTCGACAAGGAGAAGAATTTCGTGGCATCGCCACCGGTGATGCGTCCATCTCCATCTGAGTCAAAATTTCAGAAATTGCCACTTTACCAGTGTGATATTCATAAGATATTCGTTGCCCAAGATAACAGAATCTAAATAAAAAAACACGAAGAAAATGAGCAGAAGGTTTTCGAAACCAGAAGTTGGATGAGGGAGAAGAACCTGAATCGGCACATGAGAACCATTCCTTATAGATCCTCAGGTGCTCTTTAGAACAACGGCTTATGGGAGCTGCGTCGATCTCCATGGACGAAGTCAAGCTCAGAAGAACCTGAATCAACAGCAAACTACTTTTAAATCCTACCTCTATAAAGGTGGACTGAATAAGGACCAAAATTCTTTTTTTTTATTTGGAAAAATATTTTACAATAATCTCAACTTTATTTGATTTTTCAAAAAGAATCTTATTTTTCTCTATGATACATAATACTCTCAATCTTATTGAGATTTGTAAATTTTGGGTCATCGTTACGATATTAACGACGAGTTTACGAAAACGACATATTTTGCGCAACAAAATGAAAGTTGAGATTATCTTTTATAATTTATTGAAATTCTCATTTAAACTTTTGAAATAACTTTCTACCTCAATCTTTTTTATAATGATTAGTCTAACTTTGGATAAATATAAAAAATAGATATAAAAATAACAAAAATAAAAAATATAACTAAAACAATACAAAATTAATGAAATAAATAAGGTAGTCAATAGAAATTAACCTAAAACTGGTAATAAATTAAATAAAAATTTACGGACTTGTAAGTTTTAACATTTCACGCACTACACAGAGTATTAATGTACCACTTCTTATTTTTAAGAAAAACTATTTATTATAATCCTAATTTTACTTGTTTTTCAAAAAATAAAAAAGTAATACGTTAATACTCTATATAATGCATAAAATGTTAGAACCTTTCACTCCTTATATTTTTATTTTATTTCTTTTCATTTTCAGTTTAATTTGTATTGATTACCTTAGTTATTTCATTAATTTAATTTTTTACTCGCTCTATCTAAAAAAGTTGTTCTCATTTGACTTTTCTTGGTCAACGTTTGTAAATTTTGACTCTGATATGTGAAAAAACATATTGTATTACTCCCTCCGTCCCAGAGTATTTGTCCACTTTCATTTTTACACACCATCCAATGCACTTCTTTAATCTATTTTATCTTGTAATTTGAATATTAAAAAATTATAAAAATTATATATTAATAATCTATATGTTAAGACAAATCAAACAAGATCACACATGACTATATTTAGGCTTACACATTGAGAGAATTTGATGGATCAAAGTGCTTAGATGAACAGTTTCAAAAGTCAAAAGTGGATAAATATAGTGGGACGGAGATAGTATGATATAAATTTTTTACTATGTATCAAATTTTCAAAAGTCAAAATTCAATAGTGGGACGGAGGTAGTATGATATAAATTTTTTACTATGTATCAAATTTTTTACTATGTATCAAATTTTCAAAAGTCAAAAGTGAACGTAGTCTTTAAATACTCCGGGGTATCAAATTTTTATAAAATATATCTATGTATAAATATAGATATTAATGGTGAAAGTGTAACATTAGAGACCGTAAAAAGTCAAATAGGAAGAACATTTCCGAACAGAGGGAGTATATTTTTAGTTATTTTTCTCATATTTGTTATTTTTATATCTATTTTTTATTTTCTTCTAAGGTAAGACTAATTTAAAAATATAGAAATCCATTTTAAAAACTTAAACAAAAATTTGAAAAAAATAAAAATTTATCAAAAATTATCTCAGCTTTCATTTTGTTGCGCAAAACAAGCCGCTTTCGTTAATCAGTCGTTAGCAACTTAATGGCGACCTAAAGCTCACAAATTTCAGAAAATTTGGGATTATTGTGCATCATACATAAAGGTGAGATTATTTTTGAAAGATCGGATAAAACTAGAATTATTCTGGATAATTTTTCCTTTCTTATTTTGTGGTAGAATAAAAGAAGGAACACATAAACAACCCTTTAAATTATTTTTGCACAATTAGTCAATGTAATATTAGACTCTTATCTTGTATTATTTTACAACAACAAAAACCTAATTTAATCTCATGCTTATAATTTTAAACTGCTGAATTCTTGTGTCCATATGAATCCGATTCTCATCGCTTTCTTGATTCTCTCAAAGAAATTGGAGCGGCTCGATCCACGATTTTGGACAAAAACCTGCTCAAAGTCGCTAGTTTTCTGTCAACTGCTGGACTTTCATTACGTTTCAAAGGGCTTCCATCTCAATGATGACTCAAACCTTCTTCGGGTTGGGCTCAATCCCTCTTCTACTAACCATACATCTCAAAAACTACCCTTCTTAGGGTTAAGGCGCATGGGTGGTCCGGAGGTGTGCAAAGTAGCCAATCACATAGGGCCACTAAAATTTTAAGGTTTCGTATTTTTAAATTCAGCATTAATTTTAAAATATAATTATCCTAAAAAAAAAATAGGACCCAAAAAAGTAATTTTGGACCGGGTCAATTTTTTTTCAGGGCCGGCCCTATTAAGGCGTAAGCTATATTTCTTCATTATTTTATTTCAAACACCTTCCTTAGGTTTTGGGAATGCGATCTTGCTTGTTGAGAAATTAGGGAGGATCTAGGAATTAAACATACTTTGAGCTTTGAATACTTATAATGTCAAATAAGATAATATATTTTAAAAAAACATTAAATTCAAAAATTTAAAATAAAATAAACAAATAAATAAATAAAATAAAATCAAGAATAGGAGTTAATATTGTGGTAATGTAGAGGTAATGTGAGATTGTATACGTGCACAATACTATATTTTTTTGGTAATGTCAATGACCACATTTAATAATGTAAATGCATTTTAGCTCTCATTTCGAGAATAAAAATTAAATATGAAAACCCTATTTTGATATATTTTTCAAGTTATACTCCTGCTTTAATTTTTTTCCAATATGGAGAGGCATAGCAATGGTTTAGACGTACTAAGGGTAGTATTTATAAGTTCGGAGTTTTGAACTCCGTACCTTGCTAAAAATTCACCTTCGGACCAATTTGCTCCGAATTCAAATCCATTTGACCGTTGGATTCGTCTCATCGAACCTTACAAATATTTAAAAAAACTCCGGATCTATCTCAATAATTAATTAATTATTCTTAATTAATTATAATAGGCTGAATTTGACGACGTTACAATTTGAGATAATTTTTCCTAAAAAACAAATTTATCCATACATATATAAATGTTTTAAACTACGGAGTAGTAAGGAAGGAGTGAACGAGTGAACGACCCAAAACAAAGCAACGCCTGCACTATTAATAATAATTACAATGAATACATTATTAACTAGGAATATAAAATAAATATCATTCCCCAATAGAACTAAGAATAAAAGATTGCCCCAAAATCTAATTAACTATTTTTCATCTCTGATTCAATTCTGCTCCCATTCTTTCCTTCTTCAAATCAATTCCCTGTTGGGTACGCGCAACTTCCAAATTCTGCAAGTTACAAATGAAGCCGTCTTTTGAGTTACAAATAAAAAGATACAGTAATTCAAAAGCAAATAGTGTGAGTACAAATTTGGGGTAGCTTACCTTAAAATATATTTTGACCAATTTTATTTTTCAATTCAAAAACTATGTTTATTGATTAAGTTATTTGTATCCAAAGTTTGTACTCCATTTTGAACACTTTCTATTTGTGCACGTTTGATCATTTTGTGCAATTTTTATATCGCAGAATTTTGTGTTAGTGTGCTAGTGTGAATCATGAAGTGTAATTGAAGCATAGTTGTATGTTTAGAGTATACTAAGTTTTGATATAATCTTTTTAGATATTTATCAGATATAATAATGGGTCGGATGTCTCTAATATCTTAAAAGAGTAGTGTAGACTTGGACACACTTATTTTATTTTTTTTTTCAATTCAAATTATTTCAAAAAAATTAATCCGAGGGTATAATTTAAAAAATAAAAATTGGGCAATATTTTATTGGTAAATGCAAAAGACAAGAGAAGAAGTTGAAAGAGATGGAGAAGAGGGGAAGCTTACTGGGAGTCTGGGTGACGACATAGGCGGCACCGTCAAAGTGACACGTGCCGGAAGCGCGTGAGTTCTTCTGATAGTAGCTGTTGAATGCGTAAGAAGCATGGGCGTCGATCGTATTGGGATAGTAGCAGGCGGCCTCCGGCTGGATCTCCGTGCAATCCGCCCCTCCCTCTCCGCAGGCGTAGTCCAGCGCCGCCTGCAGCCTCTCCCTCCCGACGTCGGCGCGTGCCACGCACCACGTCTGCCCCGCCGCCGCCGGCGGCACTACCTGGACTTTGCTTCCGTTGTTAACGGGCCCGCTCTCCAGGCCCAACGGGATGCTATACACCTTATCCTCGTTCGGGTAGAAGAGCCCGTAGTTCCTCTCGGATGTGGGTCCCGGCTTCTGGTCCTCGTTGAACAGTGCGAACAGGTAGACGTTGAGGGGCATGTCGGGCCTCAAGGGGGTCCCACGGCACGTCAGCACTCGCCTCACCAGATTCCCGTTGTACGCCTGCGCGTTGGCCGCACTCGCGCCGGTCTCGCCCTCGTCCCCCTTCGACGGCCACCCGGTTTCCGAAACCACCAGCTTCACGTCCCCGAACCCGGCGGCGCTCGCGGCGGAGTAGACGGCGTCCAGCTGGGCGTCCAACAGGCTTTTGTAGACAATGCCGTTGGAGGGGTCCACCACGCCCTGGTTGTCTCGGAACAGCGCGTAGTCCAGAGATATGGTGTCCGTGTTGGCCTCGTAGGCGAAGAACGGGTAGGCGTTCACCATCAGGTACGACCCGGTCTGCTTCAAGAAACCCAGCATCGGTTTCATCACCGGTTCGACCAGACCCGGTTTGAACGAACCGGACGAGGGCGGGTACGACGTCGCCAGGGCGCTGAGGGCGATGGGCGACGAGACCTTCACGGACGAAGCGACGCCGTATTTCGCCAGCGAGGCGTAGACGTTCCGCATCGCCGGGACGAGGTACGAGGTTGTGTTCGCCGGGTCGACGAACACCTCGTTGCCGACGGCGACGGCCTCGATGATGGACTTGTACGGCACGACGTTGGACCGCACCCAGGAGTCGGTGAAGGTCCGGTCGGCGGCGGCGGCGGAGGACAGCTGGTCGTTGGGAAGCGCGACGGTGGTGGTTATGCCAGATCCGGAAAGAGCGGCGAGAACCTCGGAGTCAGTGTCGTAGAGTTTGACTCGGCGGATCCCCTGACTCTTGAGCAGCTCAACCACCTTGGACGGAGGCGGAAGGTTGTCGGCGATCCGGCCGTAGTTCATTCCGAGGAAGCAGGAGGAGGAGGAGGAGGAGGCAGAGTGACGCGATAACAAAGAGAGAAGGATTACGAAAAGGGCATAGAATTTGGGAGAGGCCATTGTTGAATAATGACGCAGAGAGTGACGGATGAGGAGGAGAGAGCGCATTCGCTTTATTTGCTTCCAAAGTTCAAGGGATTATATAGAGTTCTCTTTAGAAAGTTAAAAAGAAAAAAGGAATTTAGAAAGGAAGTAGAAATTGGGATAAAAGAAATTTAGATTTAGAAAGAAAGAACTGCAATAAAATGAACGGAAAAGGAATTAAAAAGAGAGAGAAAGTGGGGAAGGTAAGAAATTAGAGAGAGTGGGTGGGTGGGTTGATGGCGTAATGGGAAGGAAGAGTGGGTTAATGGCTAAACTACAACCGGAAATTGTAATTATTACTATTATTACTAAAATTATGGTAACCAACTAATTTTGTGTTATACTCGTATGGACTATACAAAAAACTGCTGCAAGGTATCCCTATTTTGTGATAAGAATTGCCAGGTGCCCGTAATTTTTAAAATATACTCTCAGGTACCCCAAATTATAAAAAAATATACCAAGGAGTCCATAATCCATCATCATCCATCATCATCAATCATCATCATCATTCCACTACACCATCCCATCTTCGTACTTCATCCTCTTCTTTTTTTATTTCTTTTCTTCTTCTTTCTTCTTCTTCTCTCCTCCTCCCCCCTTTCAACTTTCAATCTTCTACACCCCGCCCCCATCACTCACCCTTATTTCTTCTTCTTCTCCTTCTATTATTATTATTATTATTATTATTATTATTATTATGTATGTTTTATTTTTAGTTCTATACCAATATTTAAATAAAATAGATTGAAAAAACTTAAGATTTTTCTTCATTTTGTGAACCGGGAAGAAAGTTTTAGGACGGAAGGAGTATTATTTTTATTATTTAGTAGTTTTACTACTATATTTTTAACAAAAAAACACTAAAGCTCCCACCAAAAAATTGTACCATCATTCTTTTTTTTTAACAAAAAAACCATCATTTTTATTATATTATTACTACGTATTATTATTTATTACAAAGAATTATTTTCTTCTTCTAAATTATTATTGTTAATATTAAAAACTAATATTAATAATTTTTTAATACTAAAACTAATTATTATTATTTATTACGAAGTATAGTTTTCTTCTACCTCTACTATTTATTATTATTATTATTATTATTATGAAGTAATATTTTCTTCTTCTTCTATTATTATTATTATTCATTATAATTATTATTAAAAATTAATTAATAGTTTCACTATAAAAATGCCCGACAGTTCAAGTACAAAATTAGGGGTACCAAACAGTAATTTTTTGTTTTTTTACATTAATGGAGATTGTGAAAGATTAATGGAGTATACAATTTTTTTGCTGGGAGCTTTAGTGTTTTTTTGTTAAAAATATCCGGAGTAGTAGAAAACCAAAAAATTACTACCCCGATGTCCCGTTCGTAAAATTGACGGTTCCTACCCCCTAACCTCCTTCGATAAACTCTCCCACCCCGCCCCGACCCCAACAACCCCCACTCCCTTCAATTGCACCCCACAAATTGATTTTGACTTTGACATCAAAATTTGACTCCAAAGTCAAAATCAATTTAAGGGGTGCAATTAAAGGGGGGTGGGTGTTCGGGTTAGGGCAGGGTGCAGGGTTTACCGGAGGTTAGGCGGGGTAGGAACTGTCAATTTTATGAACGGGACACCGGAGTGCCCTCAGGTCATCCCATGACATTACCGGGCAATGTCATGGAAACCTTGCCCAACAACTAAATAATAATAATAATAATAATAATAATAATAACAATTATAATGGTAATAATAATAATAATAATAATAATAATAATAATAATAATAATAATAGAAGAAGAAGAAGAAAAAGAAGAAAAAATAAAAAGAAGAAGAGGAGGAAGAAGTACGAAGAAGTTGTGATGGTGGTAGTGGAATGATGTTGATGATGATGATTGATGATGATGATGGATGATGATGGTGGTGATATACTTAACGGAGAAAGGAGGGGTAGATGGAGAAGGGATGGAAAATCACCTCTTAGTATATTTTTTTATAATTTGGGGTACCTGAGAGTATATTTTAAAAATTAGGGGTACCTAGCAGTTCTTACCAGAAAATAGAGGGTACCTACTTCACTTACGTTCCACTACTTACTATTTTAAAATTGGGTGTTAATAACTATTTATTTAATTATGTTAAATTAAAATTTTATTTATTATTGTATCTTAACTCTTAAATTTTATTTATTTATTTCCAATTTTATTTATTATTCATCCAATCCTTTTTAATTTTTTTTAAATGTTTTTAGTTGCTTCCAATTTTTTCTAATTTTTTTCAATAATGACCCCAAAAAAGTATTAAAGGTCATATTATAATTATAATTACTATATTTTTTAATTATAATTAATATTAATTATATCATTATTATCATTATCATCATCACCTTTGTGAATAAAATATAATATAATTGAAATAATTTTGCAATTTATACTTAAAAAAATTATCCCTGAAACAATTTTCAATTACCATTATAGAGTAAACATACAATATTAAAATGTTAAAATAATTAATTTATTACTTCCTCCCTTCCAAAAGTAAACATACAATATTAAAATGTTAAAATAATTAATTTATTACTTCCTCCCTTCCAAATGATTCTCAATTAAGAAAGAATCACAATGTCTTAAGCATATACTTTATTAGTCCATAAATAATCTTCTCATTTAGTATTTACATAGTTAAACTAGATTTTTTAATGCCTATTTTCATTAATCATATGCTAAACTAAAATAAAGTTTTCACTAATTATTTTGTGGACTTATTGAAGAAAATTTTAAATATATAGTTCTTTTTTCATTTTATACTAGTAATTTTAAAGATGTTGAATTAAAGTGGGAAGAGTGGGTTAATAGTTTTATTATACTGGAAATTGTCATTATTACATATTAGTATTGCTAAAGTTATGGTAACATTGTGTTAGAGCATATCCATTAGCGATGTTTAAAATGTGTTTGAAATTAATGATGAATGGAAGATGTCATTTAATGGATTGTGGGTGCTTGATTAGATGGAGAGGGACGGTTAAACATCCATTCCATTGGATGTATTAAGAGCATGGGCAATGGCAAGGAGAAAATGGAATACCTCACGGTGACGTTGAATATTTTAACTAATCAAAATCAGTCCAGTCACCGTGTGGCAAGTGAATGGAGTAGCATGCCTTAAAATGACAAGTAATTGTTTTTGTCCATTTTTACACTTTTTAAACCACTGTCGGGCTTCATCGGAGCGCCAATTCAGGCAGAAGGGCAGGTAACCCTACCTGTGGAGTTAGGTTCGGGAAACAAGGTGGTGACCAAACAAATGAGATTTGTTGTTGTCGATATCTAATGTGTTGCATAATGCAATCCCGGGAAGGCCTGAAATCAACTAGGTTGGGGCCATTATCTCCATGGCACACCTGTGCATGAAATTCTACATGCCCAAATGGCATTGGAGAGGAGGAAAGAGGATACCAGAAGAATGCCTGATCTTGCTATCTGGAGGACGTCAAGAAGATGACCTAACTTTTCAAGAAAATCGAGGTTGTCTCCCAGCAGGTGGATAAGGGTGAGGAGAAGGCAAGGATCGAGCCTTATTGTAAAAAAAATTTATTTTAAAAGTAAATCAATAGGGAGTGTATATAAGTTGCAACATGAAATGCTTTTTCAATGACATGAGGAAAGTGACTAAATGGGTAGTATTAAAAAATACTCCCTCCGTCCATAAAAAAACTTTCCGATTTGATTGGGCACGCATATTAATGTGTGATAAAATTTGCTTTGACTTTCCTATTCTACCCCTGCACCTTTCCATCTTTCAACCAACAGGTATCCTATCTCTGACTGCCAACACCACCACCGGTGATTCTCCACCACCGCCACCAGCGATTCTCCACCAGCGCCGCCGCCTACTCTCTGGTACCATCGGATGACCTCTCTGGTTCTTCTTACCGCCATTCCTTCCGTAACCCCCTTCCTCGTAGATTTAATCTGTTTAGTACTCCCTCCGTCCCACTGTCTTTGTCCACTTACCTTTTGGCACACCATCCAATGCACTTCTTTAATCCATTTTATCTTGTAATTTGTATATTAAAAAAACTTAGAAACTATATATTAATAATCTATATGTTAAGACGAATCAAACAAGATCACACATGACTATTTTTAGGCTTACACATTGAGAGAATTTGATGAGTCAAAGTGCTTAGATGAACAGTTCCAAAAGTCAAATGTGGACAAAGACAGTGGGACGGAGGTAGTATCTTCAACAACCAGAAATGATAAATCTCTTCCATCCGAGGTTTTGACGGCTTGAGGCAAGGCTAGAAGTAATAGAGGATTTTTAGATCTATGAAATCGATGGCGGCTATGTCGGAAGAGGAGCAGATCTGACCGCCGCGCACCTTTGACCACCGCCTCTTCTTGCTGCTCCCAATCATCGGGTGATGGGACAAAGTCAAAACAGGGAGGAAAAGGAATTAAAGAAGAAGAAGAAGAAGAAGAAGAAGAAGAAGAAGAAGAAGAAGAAGAAGAAGAAGAAGAAGAAGAAGAAGAAGAAGAAGAAGAAAGGAAAAGAATGAAGCAGATAAGAAAAGAAAGAAAAAAGAAGAGAGAACAAAGAAAGAAAAAAACGAATTGTGGCTAGGTGAATTGAGAAGGGAGAGGAAAAAAGAAAAAAGAGAAGAAGAGAAGAAATACATTAAAGTGTCAACAAGGAAGGACATTTTTAAAAATACATTACATCTTAGTACAAGCAATTTTAAAACAATTAAATCATAGTAAAAAAAAGTTATGTAATGCAACATAAAGTGATATCAAATAGTGTTTGGATCTTCCACTCATGGAATAGGATTTCTATGTGTTTGGGTGGACTATACCAGCATATGTACATATATACTAACACCTCAATTTTGTAGAAATGAGAGATAAAATCATAACAAGATAAGCCGGGACGTCTCTCAATAGCAGCCACCGCATGAACGCAAATAAATTGATCAAGTTGGAATTCACATGTGCATGTTTTGTCCATTACACTCATATGGACATGTTGACTTTAAATGCATAACAAAAAAAATAAAAATATTCAATGGTTAATATGCAATTAAAAAAATTCATCATAGTCCAGCAAAGTATGTAATGTGAATATTACCACTGTCATAATATGTAATGTGGTGATGAATATTACGAACCATTGTAATGTAAAGTGTCACAGTATGTAATGTGTATTACAAAGAGTTGTAATGTAGACGAGACAGGATTGTGAAGTGTGACGCGGAAAGAAAAAGGAGGGCAAAATCGGGAGATAAAGAAAGAATGTGGAGGGAGAGGTCCTAGTTGGGGGATAAAAAACATGAACTCCTATTTTATGGATTAGCACAATGTTTTAGTCCTATTAGGGGTGATTTCTATTTTTGAAATATAAACAAGACTTTCATTTCATCATCATCACATCAATATCCAACGAATAATAAAACGAGAAATTGGAAAAGTGTTAAATAAGAAATAATTTATAAAAAAACATACTTTCTAAAAAAGAATGGAAAGAGAAAAATAAAATATCCTATATATATATGTAAAAGAGAGTTTAGTTGTTGCAATGTTGACATGTGGCATGCCACATGTGCATCCACATGTGCACCTATTTATGAAGTGGATATATGCATTGCACCTATTTTAAATATCTTTTAATACATTTGTATAAAATTTTTCATTCTTTAATAATTCTGAATATATATTTTACCATTGTAAAATAAACTTCGTATTTTGAGTACACACACATAAAATTATTTTTATACTATCCACAGCTTATTTTAGTTTATTACTTCTCGAAAAATGATTGCATAAATTTAAAGGGTGACAACTGACAAATGACATTATGACACATATATATTCTCTAATGATGTATCATTATGCATGTAATTGATCCACTTTTTATTATAATATTTTATTAATTAAAACCATTTCTATTTAGTACTTAATTCAATGATTATTAATTTTGTAAAATTGTTTTTTAAATTAACATACCAATATACTCTGTATGTTCCATCAGTCTAAAATATTTTTTGTCACTATTAGAAACTAAAACAACTAAAATTATATTTATAAAATCTCAAAAAATTAGAATATATACGAGCCCGTGCGAAGCACGGGGTAAACACTAGTATCATTAGTAAGATTCGGTTTTCAAACACTAACATCGAAAACAAAACGAAATTGAAATGGTTCGATTTGGTTTTTGTTTTCGGTTTAGTTTTTTCGGTTCGATACGATCGATATTGGTTCGGTTTTCGGACCTAGCCCTAGGGATGGTAGCTCCGCCCTCTCCGCCCCTTGATCTAAAATTGGAGTACTTGGAATAAATGTGATACTCCTTTCGTTCTTGAGTATTTGTCAACTTTTGAATCTTTTGGTCAAAATTGGCAAACTTTGAATTCAAATTATAAAAAAAAGTGATATTTGATATTGATTCGAATATAATTTCTTAGATTTATTTTGTAAGTTTTTTTTTCAAAATATTATTTTATCTGATTATACGATATACATTTTATTTAATTATAAGTCAAAGGTTAAAAATGATTGACTATAAAAAATCAAAACTAGACAAATACTCAGAAACGGAGATGGTACTTAATAAATTTTAATGATAAAACATAAATTTCTGCCATGTTTTTTCAATTTTCCCTATGATAAAACATAAATTTCAATTAAATTTATACTTAAATAAATCCGATGCATGATTGACTTATCCAACTTCGATCTGACTCCTATCATTGCTATTGTTGCTGTCTAAACTGTTATCAGAAGAATATAATTTTAAGAGACTGAAGGAACTTGGGCCTTCAGCATGCGGGCGGGTACAGTTTCCCGTACTCAACTTAGAATCAGTTTGGGCTGAACCTTAATGTATAAGAGAGAAGAGTCTCTTACTTATGCAGCATCTCTAACTGGGCCCAACTTAGGAATAGCTTGGGCTTGGGCTGAATCTTCAAGCATAAGAGAAGGAGAGTCTCAGCAGCACCTATAATTGGACTTGTGAATGATTGAGTGGTCAAGTACATAGGATGACTTGGCTATAGAAGGGCCAAATAGTCGAGTACCATCGGATTTATTTCTCGGTTTCCAAACATTGCACTTAAACTCCTTCCAATCATTTTCCGGCAAAGATGGACATTGGTATTTATTTTCGAAACACTGGGGAGGCGCACGTGCTCATTTCTTATTTTTAGTTTATTACCTTGTTTTTTTCTTTTTTTAACTTTTTTTATCTCTTTGTTTCCCTTTCCTAAGTTTTTAAATTTTCTTCTAAATTGTTTAAGTTTTTAAAATTTCTTTTAAATTTTTTATATTGTTTTTAAAAATTCAAAAATCTTTTGTTTGAAATAAAAATAAAAAAAAATTAGCATATACTCCATCTATCTCAAATTAAAAATTTTAACTTTTTTTTAGAATAATGCTTTTTGGTAAGTTCAAGCAGAAAATAACAAAATATAAAAATAAAAATTTGGAAAAAAATGAAAAATATGAAACATCTAAAAAGAGTCTTCTACAAAAAAAAATTTCAGAACGTCAAGGATGTTCATTTTTTGTTTTTTTAATTCCTCATTTTTTGAAAATCTCAAAAAAAGTATTTTATTTTCTATTTTAGAAAATAAAAAATAAAAATTGTTAATTTATGATGTACGAATGTAGTAGAAAAATAAATGCACTAAATAGCATTAAAACTTAAGTCATTTCCCTAAATAGTACTTAAATTTTTTTATTCCCTAAATAGCACTTAGTAATGTCCATAATGTCCAGTGATGACGAATATTTACTTGAATAATGACTAACTTGGTAAAGTGTATGTTTTTCTCCCAAACTTAAAAAAAAAATGTACAATTAGCCTCACTACTTTTTATAAGGTGCATGTTTTACTCTCAAACTCTTTAAAAAGTACGGAGTACTATATATTTTCCCTTTGAATTTTCACAAGTGCGCCATTATTTTTTTTATTCAAGTCTAGTAAAGAACGTTAATCCAAATTAATTTTTAGGAATTCAACCATGCACCATACTAAAGAGAAAAATTTGCACTAAATAGAAATAAAACATAAGTCATTTCTCAATATTGGACTTAAACTTTTTTATTTCCTAAATGGGACTTAATAATATCTAGTGAGAGAATAATGTCCAGGTGAACATTTACTTGAATAATGACTATCTAATAGATAATGATCAAAGGTCATACATTGGAAAATAAAAATATATGGTCATATATTGAGAAAGTCATTATGTTTTAGTCCTATTTAGGTAAATTCCCCTAGTAAAAAATACTTACTCCATCCCCATTTTGATTACATTTTTTTTCTCTCCTCTCGATAATTTTTGTTTATTTATATGATTTCATTAAGTATTTGTACATTTTTTAAACATACACCTTACCAAGACTTCAAGGATAAATGTTGCTAAAAAAAACTGGTTTTCATAAACAAACAATATTTCTCCTGCTTGTATGTATATTACGGAGCAATATTAATGCATTGCACATCTTCACATGGAAAGCAGAGTATAGGAACCTTCCAAGTCTGAGATTTACCATACATTTCCTCTTGCCGAAGGCCAGAAACATTACACACTATACATCTCATCCTGCAGATTAAGAGCCCATTGAATTGTCGTCTTCCATTCATTCTCACTGCCATGCCATGCCCCAAATATATATACACATACAATAACCACAGAGAGAAACTTAAAGAAAGAAGATCGAAGAATTGAAGAAGAAACCCAAGAGCCATGGAGATGAAGAGACGAAAAGGCTGCAGCATTTATGTTCGGCAATGGTTTTCGGCTGTTTCCATTTTTGCCCTCTTATTGCAATGCTGTTTTTCTGATTTGGACTATAAAGAAGCCCTTTCGAAGAGCCTCTTGTACTTCGAGGCGCAGCGCTCCGGCCGGCTGCCGTACAACCAGAGGGTGTCCTGGCGCCACCACTCCGGCCTCACCGACGGCCTCCAGCAAGGGGTATGTATAGCCCCCAATGATTAATTTTTGGGGATTGATTGATTGGTTGATTGATTGGTACAGTTTGAATTCATTAATGTATGTGTGATGGAGATGGACTACGTACAGGTGGACTTGGTCGGAGGGTACTACGACGCCGGCGACAACGTGAAGTTCGGTCTTCCGATGGCGTTCACGGTGACGCTCTTGTCGTGGGCGGTGCTGGAATACGGCAAGGAAATAGACGCCGCCGGCGAGTCCCGCCACGCTCTCGAGGCCATCAAGTGGGGGACTGACTTTTTCGTCAAGGCTCACACTCGTCCTCATGTCCTTTGGGTCCAGGTTAATTATTTTTTTACCTTTTACCTTTGGAGTAATCATTGATTATTTAAACGAACAATTTTTTTTTTTGAAAAAAAAACAAACATTTAATAGAATGAAATAGATCCTTTTTTTTCATCTTTCTTGAACATGTTTTTTACGGGGTACTCCATTCATTTTTTGGGTAAAGTTGCTTATAAGATCGCTATATTTTTTTGAAAATGTTTTCCAAGTTTTCGAATTATTTTAAGTGTTTATTAGATTTCTATATATTTTTGAAAGTGCTCCATAGGTCCCTAAATTATTTTTAATTTCTACCAGTTCCCTATGCTTTCTTACTATTGTGTTAGTTGTCACTTCGCAGAAATTATTTGAACAACATGCACAATTTGTTCGAAAATTTATGATGTGATAGAAATACTTGTTGACTCTGATTTTGGGAAGGAAAAAATATTGCTTTATTGAAAAATAAAAAATTATTAACAATATACATTTGAATAAGTGCAACAATAAACTGAAAAGATCGAACATGACCTATATGTTTAATGCAAATAAATTCAATTTTGTTAGATAAATTGAGTTCGATTAATTGGGTAAGTCTTACTTGAAATGAAAAGATTATTAGCCTGAAGGTCTTGTATAGGTAAAGAAACCAATTGTGAGCCTATAAAAAAAGTGAAATTTGCTCTAAAGAGGACTAAAACATAATGACTTTTTTAATGTAGGACTTAAACTTTTTTATTCTCTAACTAGGACTTAATAATGACCTTGTGGAAGGAATAATGTCCAGTAAAGATGGACATTTAGTTGAATAATGACTACTTGATAATGACCAAAGGTCCTACATTGGGAATTAAAAACATATGGTACTATATTGGAAAAGTCATTATGTTTTAGTCCTATTTAGGTAAATTTCTCATAAAAAAATACTCCGGTATGTGATCTTAGGACAATAGTAAAACTAACTAATTAGTAAAAGCACTAATAAAAATTTGAGACATTACTACTTAATAATTAAGAATCACATCATCCTTATTCAATGAATTGAATGACTTGTTTGAGAGTCAATGGAAAAAACTTCATCATCCCCGGCCTATTGTCACTTTGTCACCGGCCATCGATTATTGTAAACATATACTAGACCTATATCTCTTTTTTATAGTTCAGTCGTGTTAAAAAATAATTCTCGTTTTGACTTTTCACATGTTTAAAAAGAATGTATTTTGTAATTTATTTTCTAATTTTGTCCTTTAGTGTATAATATTGAGAAAAAGGATAATATGATGGAGTATTAAATGGATTTTTTAAATAAAAATGAAAGTGCTTTATAGAAAGATTAAAAAATAAAATTGGAATTGTTTTATGAAATGGATGGACTACATTACAAATGGAATTGTACGAGTACGAACTACGAAGTATATACTCTTTTCGTCCCACAATTGGTTACAATGTTCACCATTCCAAAATCACGATAGCTTTTGTTTATTTATATATTTTCATTGATTATTTGATAAAATAAAATATTTTTGTCACCTCTTATTTATATCTCAATTTTTAAATAAAATAAATTTAAAAATTTGTAATAAAAATAATGGCAGAGGGAGAATTTTCTTTTGCTCTAAATGAGACAACTTCCAAATAATGTGGCGAATTACATGCAACTATGTTAACTTCATACGGAGTAATGTATCCGGAGTAGATCACTAGTCGATCACTAGTTCTATAGATGCATGTATATTTGATCCGTCTCATTATTAAATATTTTTATCCCGAGTATAAAATTTGTCCTGATTTATGAGAGTGTATTCAATTGGGATTTTGTAGTCTTTTTTTGGATTTTAAAAGTCTATGAGTATTTAATTAAGATTTTAAAAAGTTCATTAAAATCTGAATGTATTCAACAATCTATGAACTTTATAGAATCCATGAATTATAAACAATCTCTCAGAATTTTTTAAAATCTGAATTGAATACACTCCTCTTAGAATTTAAAAAAAGTCTCTTTCCAAAAAATATTAGTATTTTTCAACACTAATAACTCTATCAAAAGATAATATATGTTCATACATTCATAAATTATTAAAGTTCATAAAATTACTGCCCGCACTAGAAATCAAACACCTCATCCCTCATTTATGAGAGTCACAGCTGTGCCAAATATACCAGTATTACTCTATTTTTAATACTCCCTACAATTCTCTTTTCTTGACTAGGAATTGAATACATGTGCACATGTGTTACCGGAAAATGAATATGATAAGATGGTCGGACTACCAGTAATTCCTTCCTCTAAAAGAAAATTAGTACTGTTCGCTAATAAAAAAAATCATGAATTTTTTTCTCTTTGTATATGTTTTCATTTCTTTATTTGATAAAATAATTTTTTTATCATAATTTTATATTGAGGAACTTTTTACACATAATTTTTAGATATGCAAATTTTATTTTTTAATTCTATACTAATTCTTAAATAAAATGAATTGAAATTTCATTTCTTTTTTCATGAAGTGACAAACATTTTGAAAGGAGAGAGTATAATTTAGTGCACATAAGGAGTATAAAATGGAGAAAAACACTTTTAAAAAGAAATCGAAATAGAAGGTACTCCCTCCGTCCCCCAGTTTTTGTCCACTTTTGATTTTTGGAACTGTTCATCTAAGCACTTTGACTCATCAAATTCTCTCAATGTGTAAGCCTAAATATAGTCATGTGTGATCTTGTTTGATTTGTCTTAACATATAGATTATTAATATATAATTTCTATAATTTTTTAATATACAAATTGCAAGATAAAATGGATTAAAGAAGTGCATTGAATGGTGTGTAAAAATGAAAATGGACAAAAATTGGGAGACGGATGGAGTATTATTAGGCGGAGAATAAGGTGGTCTAGAATGATTTCAGAATGTTCCGAGGTCTTTGCGTCAATTGCGCCAAAAAGACGGTTGAAACTTGAAACTAATAATCGCACAATAATTTTGCATTACAAGGATGTCCCACTAATGCTTTATCGTTCAATAAATTAATGTTCACATTTATTGCACTTTCGTCTCTCTAAGACTCCCCTTTTTAAAATTGTACGTAAATTAAGGGGGTGATTGGTCAATACACAACATCATTTACGGAGTACATATTTTAGACAAATGTTTTCTTTCAAAACCACATTTCCGACCAATCAAAATAAAGGCTGTGTTTTTTGTCTAAAACACAAAAATCAAGGTTATTGATTATGAAATTATTTTTGTAGTAATATCAAATATAATTTTTATTTATATATAAGTATTGTTTGAGAACTAATATTTTATTTTAATTTCAAAATATAAATTCTTCAATTTCAAATATCATAAGGAGATATAAGGATTTCAATTTGAGTTTGTAATGAATTAGATGAATTTGCCTCAAATTCAAATCCAAATTTTTCAAAGAATCCTGAACAAGGAATTTGAGCCGGATCTTAATTTGAAATCAAAATCCATATTCCCAACCATACCATTACAGTAATTAAAGTTAATCTAGTTTTGTTGTGCAAGTCAAACTATCCTAGTACACTTAAACAAAGTATAGTACAAACTACTCTGTGTTAGGCAAACATGAAAAAACATTGTTATCTACCCAGTATCATCTAGCTAGCATTTGCTAATTGGTGTTTGTAAAACACACCCTAAAAGACTGTCAAGCTTCAATGGAAAATATTAACTCTTTTATAAAAACTTTACTTGAAATGTGTGTATGTATAGGTAGGTGACGGGGGCACAGATCACTATTGTTGGCAAAGGCCTGAAGACATGGCCACCTCTCGCAGAGCCTACAAAATCGACGAGGACAGACCCGGCTCCGACGTGGCTGCCGAGACCGCTGCCGCAATGGCCGCCGCCTCCATCGTCTTCTGCACAACAGACGCCCATTACGCTTCTCTTCTCCTAGCCCATGCCCAGCAGGTATGTATATATATTGCATTAAGAATTCTACCCTGCCAAAAATAGAACATTAGAAGAGAAAAATACTAAAATAAGACTATTGATCTCCTTCGGTGCCATAATTTTCCCATCTTCCAAAATACATTTCTCTCTTCTAAACAAAATCGCGAGGGGTGTTGATTTTTGAACAGCTATTCGAGTTCGGCGACAAGTTTAGAGGGAGATATGACGAGAGCGTTGAAGCCGCCAAGGGGTACTACCCGTCCTTGAGTGGCTATAAAGACGAGCTGTTGTGGGGAGCTTTGTGGCTTTACAAGGCTACCGACAACGACTACTACTTGAATTATGTCATTGAGAATGCCAAATCTTTTGGAGGGATCACTTGGGGCATGACCGAGTTCAGCTGGGACGTCAAGCACGCCGGCATCCAATTACTTCTTGCCAAGGTATAATCTGGTCAAAATGAAGAAACCAAAAAACTAGCTTATTTTTTCAAGCTTATAAGCAGCAGCTTGTAAGTCAACTTATAAACAGAGAAATACCTGTCATCAGCTGGCTTATAAGTTACGGAGTAAAATTTATTTATAAACAGTTTTGACCAGCTTTTAAATACAAAGAACATCTGCATACATATATAAACATGCAAATAGAGTAATAATAAACTCTTGCATTGATCTACCTTTTCCAATTTAATGACTAAATAATGGTGTTTTGATTGTATCCAATTACTTCTTGCCAAGGTATGATCTGGTCAAAATGAAGAAATGAATAAACTAGCTTAAAAATAAGTAGGAAAGACCTACTTATTTTTTCAAGCTTATAAGCAGCAACTTGTAAGTCAACTTATAAACACAGAAATACATGTGACTTATAAGTTAAAATCTATTTATAAACAGCTTTGATCAGATTATAAATACAAAGAAACATCCACATACATATATAGACATGCATGATAGAGTAATAAAAAAACTCTTGCATTGATCTACCATTTCCAATTTAATGACTAATCAATGGTGTTTTGATTGTATCCACATATATAAAGTTGGCCGCTAAGGGGAAGCACAAAGGGGAACATAGTGAAATCCTAAAGGAATACCGCACCAAAGCCGAATACTACATGTGCGCCAATCTGAACATGAACAACTCAAGCAGCAGCAACGTGCGACGCACTCCGGGAGGCTTGTTGTACGTCCGTAGATGGAACAATCTGCAGTACGTCTCGTCTGCGGCCTTCCTCATGACCGTGTACTCTGACCACCTCAGGTCAACCGATGACACTCTTTCTTGTGACCGCGGGCCAGTGGGGCCCGACGAGCTCTTTGCATTCGCAAAATCACAGGTTGACTATATTCTCGGAATGAATCCAATGGGTACGAGTTATTTGGTCGGGTTTGGTCCCAAGTATCCCCAACGGGTGCACCACAGGGCTGCATCCATTGTATCATACAAACACGAAAAGAACTTTATCGGGTGCATGCAGGGGTACTTCACTTACTTTGGTCGTCGGGATCCGAACCCGAATGTGGTTGTCGGGGCGGTTGTGGGCGGGCCGGATATGGACGACCAATTTGAAGATAGAAGGGGAAATTACATGCAATCAGAGGCATGCACTTACAATACAGCAAGCCTTGTTGGACCATTTGCCAGGCTCTATTATCTACAACAAGAACATGATATCTCAACAAGTGATTTACCTCTAATTTCTACTGGGAGGTTGACAGTTAGTTATAAATAAGTAGTTCATCACTTAACCACCCTCATAGCCATGTAAAGACAGATTGACCCATTATTTGTAACCTCAAATCCATCAAAGATATAGTTTTGGAATAAAAGATTAGTAAGTCGTAGTAATACGAAATACTCCTTTATAAATTACTTGTGAATCTTTTGAATTATTTAATGACCAAGGTGTTGTAATTACAGATCTAGAAAGAATTATACATATAAATATCATTCTTTAATCTTTGTCATATATTGGAGTCAAATTAATTCATGCAAGGCTCATACATTGAGTCCTACTCTACTCCAGCTCTTTTTACTATTTTAATACGGAGTACTATATTAGATTTTCCGACTTTGTCGAACTAATTCTGACTTATGAGACCCTAAGATCCTCATCTCAAGAGCCCTAGCTGATGTTAATCTTAAATGACTGGAAAGTTTTTGATGAACGTAAAATGCAATATATTTTCTGTCAAATTTAATGCCTTTTGATAATCTTTCGATTAAATCTTAGCCAAAAATCGCAAATTTCCCATAATGTTGGGTTAAGGGTGTTGTAAAATCCTTTTTATGAAAATTCATTTTACCAGTTTGTTTTTGTCTTGTACAAACTTTGACTCTATCGGGGTTTGATTCTTATGCACCCAATACCCAATGTCACGTTTTGACATCAGGTGTTATAGTATATGTCAATATGGTGCTATGTTGGACTCGGGCTGGGAAAGGGTATTGGCGCTGATTTCGGACGTCTATAGAATACTAATGGTTCGATTATTAACGATCATTGGTGCAACGACTACACACAATTTAGCATTTCGGTGACTAGGGAGGTGTTAGAACTTGACCGATCTTGATTCTTGATGCAAGAATAGGGAAAAGATCGAGATTAACTAACTTATCTGGGATTCAAACCCACATGTATGTGTTTATTATGAACACAACACTCTGCCATTTGCGCTAATAGAATTACAAATTTTAAAATAAGTTTTAGTTGAACCATATTGATCTACATCATATAGACATGGCAAAATAATATATGCAGTATGGAATATGACATTACTGCTATCTACACATACAACTCAGATAAAAAACTTGATATTACTACAAATTTCTCTCACATATATGATATTTCTACACATTGCATATACTAATATTCAAACATCCAGGAAGCAAAAACACTTTAAATTGACCCAGCTGGAAGTTATATTTATACCACAAGAAATCACAACCAGCATAAAGTTAGAAGACAACATCCATAATGAATAAACTAAGGCTAAACTCAACTATTGCTCCTTCAACTTTATGAGTTGTGCACGGTTGGCCCTTCAAGTTTCAAAAGTCCATTAGTAATCCTTCAAGTACATGTCAGCCTTTCAGATGAGGTCCTTTTGACGGTAAACGTTAAAAGTTAAATAAAGTACTAGCTCTATATAAAACGGAGTAGTCGTACCCAATGGAATTTACTCGTATTATATGGAATTAGTATTCCATTTAGCTTTTAATGTTTACTGTCAAAAAGACCTCATCTCAAATGCTGACGTGTACTATTAAAGGGTTAATCATGGACTTTTGAAACTTGAATGACCAATTGTACACAATAAGTTGAAGGACTAATGGTGAATTTTAGTCATAAACTAATTTGACCCAAAGTCTCCCCTCACAACCACCCACATCTTAATGGAAGTTGAAATATTGGATCTGAAATTTTAAAAACAAAAAAATATGAAATCAAATTATTTGAAAAGTTTGAAGAACTTAAATTCAGAAACAAATATAATCCATCTTTTAGAAATTTGGAAAACCTAGAATCTAAAACAAAATGATTTTAGAGCAATTTGGAACGTACCCGGTTCGAATTGAAAAGAGAAACGTCTCTGGAGTGTTGATATAGGCCGGACTGCACGAACAACTTGGTGCAGAGGATGCGAATTACTTCCCGTTTTGTTGGGAGAGGAAATATGCAATGGAATCGATTGGCGACCTCATTAGTTGAGACTATGGGCAAGGGCCGGCCAATCCAAGATTTGTATAAACCGGACTTGATTTGTTTTTTTTAAAAATAGTCCGGGCCGGAACGGGTTTTCAAAATTTTAAAATTGAAATTAGACCGAACTCGACTTGTTTGAAACGGACCGATTCCATGGGTCAAGGGTCCTAACCTATCATGATACTAATATTAAAAAATAAAGAAATAATAAATTAATTTAAGTCATCCAACATAAAAAAAGAGACATAAATGAAAATAAAACAATGACAAAGAGGGGCATGAGAGTAAAGTGAACACCCTATGATCATCAAACAATAATAATAAAAAAGAAGACAACCATATTTTGGCATTATAATGTCAATGGGTTCCAAAAAGAAAAAAATCCACAATCTTCATGGGTTCCGACTCTCTGACTATGAAAGGTTTTCTTACTTTTCTGCCTGCGATTGGAAGGACCAAAAGATTGAAGGGCTTAGGCGGGTATATTTCCATATATCCGTATATTTACTAAAAATAACATTGGGATTTAAAAAAACGATCCAGTCCGGGTCCAATACAATTTCAAAATGAGGAACTAGACCAACCCTAAAATTTGTAAGGACCAGACCGACTCAGACCGTTTGAAATTTTTGAAAAGAAGACCCGACCCTAACCCCGACCGAACCTAGTGGTCCGGTTCTGACTCCTGGTTCCTGGACCCGATTGCCCACCCCTAGTTGAGACTAAGGGCTTTTAGTTACTTTTTTCTTATTCTTATTAAGATTGGATCAGATGAGATTAAATTTTTTTCTGTTTTATTCTTATTCTTATTAAAATTAGACCAGACAAGACCAGATCCAATCAGACCAGATCAGATCAGATCAATCAAGAATTATTATTATCATAATTATCATTATGATTATTATTGTTAGGAATTATTATTATTATCATCATCATCATCATTATCATTATCATTTTCGTTATTACTTCATATTTTTTAAATTCTATACTTTTTACTTGTTTTACTTGATATGATTCTTTCAAAAAATAAATTTAATTACTTTTAATGTATATATAAATTAAATATGTATTCTAATGTATATATATGAACTAATTATTAAAATATTAAATCAATATTATTATTTCATAAAAAAATAATAATAAAATAAAAAATAATCATAAAATAAAAAGAGTATATTCCATAATTGGTCCTTTATAACATGGGGGTTTCCCTATTTAGTCCTCTATTATCAAATATTACCCAGTAGTCCTTCTTTTATAGGTATCTTTCCATAAATAGTCCTTTTTTGATCTTCTATCATGTTGGTGTTAATTTGAGGGCTAAAAATGTAATTTCACAATGATGATATATCCTTTTTGTCATACACAATTTCAAAGACTGTTCCGTTTGCATCGTTTGTGAATTACAGTCGCTTTCTACTACAACCGTAGTCTACAAATGTGGTCTTTCGTCAGAATACTAGCCCAAAATCATAGTCATTATTTTTGTGTTATCCGCTTAACCAATATCAGAACACGCCACTAGACATAATGTTGATGTCAAATTATACTGTTAGCATTTAAATTAACACCAACATGGCAGAAGATAAAAAAGGACCATTTGTGAAAAGGCACCCTTAAAAAAAGGACTACGGGGGTAATAGTTGATAATAGAGGACTAAATATGGAAACCCCTCTGTTATAAATGATGAATAATGGAATTTACTCAAATAAAAACTATTGATTATATTATAATATGAATTATCATTACAATTTTCAAAAGTTATTATAAAGTCAGATCAAATCAGATCGAATCAGATCAAATCCAATCATATCAGATCAGATCCAATCAGATCAGATAAGATCCAATCAGATCAGATCATATTGAATCAGAACTACAAAAAATCAGATCAAATCAGAAAAAATAAGTTGAACGAAATGGAGCCTAATAAGTTGAAAGAGGAACAAGATTTTTTTAAGGATGAATTGAATTGATTTTTTTTAAAATTGATAGTATGATCTTATCTGAATGGATTTGATCTGATCTGAATAAATTTGATCTAAATCGATCTAATTTGATCAGGATGAATTTTATCTGATGTGAATGAATTTGATCTGGTCTTAATGGATTTAATTCAAACAGTTAGATTAATGATAACAATAAAATTTATAACAATAATAATAATTTATTATTAATTATTATTAAAATATTTACAATAATAATTTTACTATTAATAGTTATAACTTTAATTATTATTCATTATTATTATTATTATTATTATCATTTTTTATTTAATAACTATAACTACTATTATTATAATATATTTATTATTATTATTATTATTATTTTATGTTATCATTAATGATGATTATTATCATTATTAATTATAATTATAACTAAAAAATAATTATTGTTAAAGTCTATTATTATTATTAAAAATAATTATTGTTATTTTTTTTTGAAGGAAATCCAATTTCAATTTCACCTCAATAAATGAGAAACACAGTCTGGGAAAAATGACATCCACGTAGAAGGTTGGGTCCCTGCTCTATGAGCAAGCGTATGCGCAGTACTACTAGCTTCCCGAGAAATATGAGAAATCAAGACCAAACATAATTGAGCTAAAATACCCTTAAAATCTTCTGTGATCTTTTATGTATATGTGAGAAGGTTCGCAAAAATGGTATGCACTCCCAAAATGCATCATAGAAGCACTCATGGTGTTGATCATTTTTGTTTGGTTGATGTGACCGCATGGGTAGCTCAATTGTAATAGCTTCTTGTGCGCATTGAGCACAAGGCAGACTTTCTAAAGTCCAGATAGATTATCATGATCTATCCCCCTTACAATGTTGTCGAACCAGGGTGTGGGGGCGCCGGGGTGGGTTTTCCACCTTTTTTAAGGAAAAATTATTAAAAATAGTCCAAATTGTACCTTGTCTTTCAAAAATAATTTCACCTTTGATTATGATATATAATAATCTTAATTTTACTGAAATTAGCGAGTTTTGGATCACCGTTAAGTTGCTAACGATGGGTAATGGAAATGTCTGTTTCACGCAACAAAATGAAAGTTGATATTATTTTTAATGAATTTTTGTTTTTCAATTTTTTTTGAATTTTTTATTTAAAATTTTCGAATTACTTTTTACCTCCATTTCATAAAATAACTAAAACCATACAAAATTAACAAGATAAATAAGGTAATCAATAGAAATTTGACTGAAATTGGTAAGAAATAAATTAAATATATATCGAGTGGTGAGTTTTAACATTTTACGCAATATACAGAATCTCAATGTACTACTTATTTTTTGAAAGAACATGTCGATCGATAAAGTGAAAATTATTCGAGATAATTTTTTTCTAAAAAAGAAGAAGTGGTACATTAATACTTTGTATAATGCCTAAAATATTAAAACCCACTCAGTATATTGTTATTTTATTTCTTACTAGTTTCAAGTTAGATTCTATTTACTACCTTATTTATGTTATTAGTTTTGTATCATTTTAGTTACTTTTCTCATTTTCTTTATTTTATATATATATTATTTTTATTTTTTAAAAAGTAAGACTAATCTTTAAAAAAATAAATGATGGAGGTAGAAAGTAATTTAAAAAAATTAAATGAAAATTTCCAAAAAATTAAAAAATGAAAGTTCATCAAAATAATCTCAATTTTCATTTTAATGCACAAAAAATGCCATTTCTGTTAAATGCATTTAATAATTTAACCACGATCCAAAACTCACAAATTTTAATAAAGTTTAGATTTTTCTAGATACTCCCTCTTCCGGTATTAATCTTCCCCAATTGACTTTTTCCCATTTTTTTTAAGAGTTGACTAAGGAAGTAAATGGTCAGAAATGCCTCTACTGCCAAAGTCCCAACCTTGCAAGCACTCACCTTCGCCAGTCCCAACACCACCATTGATAGTCCCGCCGCCGCCCTCATCACAGTTGTCAGCCACACCACCGCCCCATCGCCGTCGTCATCCCCATGCGCGACCATATCTTCCCCTCACCATCCCTGCCATCCCCCCTCCCCCCGCCAACGCCCACCATCAACACCACCGTGCCCGCGTCTCCATCGTCACCACCATCCGCCATCGTTACACGGGAGAGAAAGAGAAAAGGGAGGAGAAGAACAGAGGTGAAGATAAAGCTATAGATCTGTCAGATCTAGGAGGAGATGGATAAGAAAGGAGAAAGGGGAAGAAAGAGGAAGAGGAGGGAGAGCCACTATGAGATCGAGAGAGAGAAGAGAGGAGGGGTGGGGTGGGGGAAGAGAGGAAGTCGAAGAAAGAAGAGAGAGAGAGGGAGAGAGGAGTAAAAGAGATGGGGGCGATAGAGAAAAAGGAGGAAGCAGAAAAAAAGAAGAAAGAAGAGAGAAGAGAGTGAGATTTGATGGGAGGGGTATTTTTGGGACATTTGGTTGATGAGTTGATGGAGAGAGCTGAGATGTATGCCGGACAGCAACCTAATTTTGATATCACCATTCACCCACGCAGGTTTTATAGACGTGTCAAGCGTATCATCCGGTAAATTCTTTAGTCGACCTTCCAATTTGCAATCTTTATCTTTTTCCCCAACCAACATCTACTGCTGTGTGCAAACGGCTAAACTCCACATTCCGCCGATCTCGATTCTCGACGGGAACCTTCCGGTCCACACCAACGGCGGCGAGGAGGCCTTTTCCGCTGCTCCAAGACTCCTCTGTACATCAACCCTAAATCGAAGGAAAGAACCAAACTTTCACCCTTCTTTCTCTTTCGAAATTGAAAGCGGTCTATTTACATCAATCCCACCGAAATTCTCTATTTTTTTTTTCTACAAACGATGGACGAAGTAATGGTAACGAGGGATGCATCGGCAAGCGCTCGATCTTACTCGTCGGAGCCTCAGGCAGTGCCTTCCAACCTTCCTCTTCTCACAGCTTTCCTGGCCTGCGCAATTGCGCAATTTCTCAAACTCTTCACCACCTGGTAAACCCTTGAACCTTTTTTCTGATTGACAAAATTTTGGTCTTTTCTGTGTTATAATCAGTTTTTTTTACTGGGATTGATATATGCCTATATGGTTTTGTGTGGTTATAATTTCTGATGATGGCTGCTTCTGTTTGGAGTCTTCTCAAGTGTATAACAGTAAATCCTTTTCGTTTCTGAGCCTGATGTATTAAAAAAATGAACTTTCTTAATGGACTTGAATCAAATTGATACCTGGATTGAGTTTTTTGAGCTGGAAAATGAAATTCGATTTTGTTGGTTTTGCTTGTTTTTTTGGGTCTTTATTGTGTTCATTCCTTCAGGTATAAGGAAAAGAGGTGGGATTCGAGAAGGATGTTAAGCTCTGGCGGAATGCCGTCTTCACATGCGGCTACAGTTACTGCCCTCGCAATGGCAATAGCACTGCAAGATGGAACCGGGGGACCGGCTTTTGCTATTGCAGTGGTTTTAGCTTGTGTTGTATGTACTTTCTAAACCAGGTTTTTGCTGTTCTTGCATAGTTCTGTCTGTTTCACCTTTTGTCAAGAGACTTTGAATTACAATCCTTGATCATTCAGTTTAGCATTTGGGTATGTGTGAATTTCTGTGCTATCTTTTCATTTCTTATGTTTTCCTTCCAATTCTATACCCTTCTAATTCCCGTATATACTTTAGCCTACTATGTTGCAAGCCTGCATTCAAAATTTATTCATCACAACTTAATTTGTAAAATTTAGATAACATGCAGAAAATATTAAAAACAGACATTAAATCATCACCACTAGCACTCGCCAGCACAGTTTTCGTCGTTTTTCCCATGGCCAACACATCAATCCCAATCATTGAATAACACCGGGACTGGGGACATGAATTTTTAAATGTCCGTAGTTAAGACTATAAGTTCATTATAAATCCATGCAAAAGCAGTGTTTAAGTTTTATGCTAGACGTTGTTCATCTTGCAACCTCGAAGAAGGAATAATAAGGGGATATTCCAAAAGCATCATCAATTCATCCCCCACACACACAGATATATATATATATATATATATATACATACATACATACATACATACATACATACATACATACATACATACATACATATATATATATATATATATATATATATTGCAGTTGTATGAAAATAGCATGAGATGGCTATGAGTTGAGATAGCTACTTTGTATTTATGTATGTGTATCACTATTTGTGTTTCTGGGTGTTTTTGTAAAACTTTCCCTTGCACAAATAATACAGTAAAATACTCCCTTTGTTCCTTAAACCCTTCCCATTTTGACTTTGGGCCAAAATAAGGAAAGTGTAATTTTGATTGACTTTTCAATTTTGCCCCTGATGTGATGGATAAAAGTAAGATGTGATAGTTTGGTTATTAGTGAAAAAGTATGATGTGATAGGTAGAGTATGAAAAAGTAGGGGTAAAAGTGGTTTTTTTAATAGAAAGTGGAAGTGTTTTAAGGAATTGGAAAAAAGCGAAAGGGGAAGGGTTTTATGGAACGGAGGGAGTAAGTACATTAGATTTAAGTGTTGAGCACGACTGCATTACAGTTACTTGTATGTACCACTTTAATTATTATTCTTGTTATTTTCTCTAGCATATACCTTGGATTGGCATGTGCTAGTGGCTTTTGTGAAAGAGGATTGAGACTTATATGTGATGCACTGAAACATTCATGCACTAATCACCTTCTGATGTTGCTTCATGTGTATGGTACATATGTCTGGCGCACACTTGGGTCTTTCGGCTTACAGTTTTATATTATTATAGGTAATGTATGATGCTACTGGTGTTAGGCAACATGCTGGTCGACAAGCTGAAGTAAGTCCTTAACCCTAATAACCTTTTGCAAGAGTAAGAAAAGAGATTGTATATCTTACATGTATAGCAGAGGAGATACCACGAAACTGTGTTTGATGACTATTTTTAGATAAAGTTTGACACTCCCCTCAGGCTGAACATGTAGTTCAAAAGCTCCAATACTGTTACATATCTATTCTATCCTGAGTTGTCAAGGGACTTAGTAATGAATGTGGTCACTGTATCATGAGAAGCTAACTTTTTTTGAATAAAGTGACAATCAAGTTCAAATTATTTGGTTCTCTAGTGAAAAATAGGTTTGGAAAGGATGTCTAGCTCTGATGATTGTCTCAAATCATCTTCATATGGTCTAGAGAGAAAGGAGGCACAAACCTATAACCTATTGGATGTAGGTGGATGGTTGGACCACTTACCTACACCTCAAACATTCTAAGCAGAAATTGAATTATAATTCGTACGCCCCAAGTATTTCAAGAACTATAATTAGTAAATGTAAGAAATTCAAAACAGATGGAACACGAGAACATATTTCTCAGGTATCACCACAAATAATGGTGAAATCTGTTGTGGCAAATTTGCTGATTCTACTATATATTTTCTAGAACTATGATATATATGGGCTATAAGTACGATTTTAACCTTTGGTGCTTTTGCATACAATGGTTTTGGTAAGTACTCCATCTGGATTCAATTGTCCACATACTAAAATATCTCAAATTTAAGTATTACGATAAAATAACAATACTAGTCACTACGGGTGTTTTTTATTGTATATATGTAACCAAATGTTTGGAGTAATCTTCAGTGTCAGTTACATTGGATGGTTGATGTTGTTTTATTTTTCAAATATGGTAAATGGACACCTAAGAATAGTTTACTCTGCAACCTAAGAAAAGTTTACTCTGAATCTCCAATCCTTCACAGTGCTCTTCTCCATTATGCAGATGCTATTTGACTCTGCAAAATAAGAAAAGTTTCTTGCTAAAAATTTCTGAGCACGTAGTTTTTGATGTTGTATGCAGTTGTTAAATCAAATTGTCTGTGAATTGCCTCCGGAACATCCAGTTGCTAGTATTAGACCTCTACGGGATTCTCTTGGCCACACGCCTCTTCAGGTAAACTATAAGTCATCTTTATTTCCTTCATTTAAATAGATACAGTATTATAAACTATTTGTTAGTGGCTTCCCTCCTTGATGGATTTTTATTATATTTTCAAAGAAAAGGGCACCCCTCCAACTTTGTGATACAGGAAAACTCCACCTTGCATTCTTGCCTCCTTGATGGATTTTGATTATATTTTCAAAGAAGTGTTTGAAATTCTTGTTTTCTTGGTCACTTTTCTTAAGGGACTACGAGGGCATCTCAAGAATCTCCTCTTCACCTCTCGTCCTAAAATGACTAAACTAATATTTCTTCAATCAATTCAGCTTGTCTGGTCTGCTTATGAATCAATTTTGCATTCATTCGCTCGCACCAGAAGATGCAATGCTACTCAAATTTCATCCGTGCAAAAATGAAAATTATGGAGTACTCCTTCCATTCTTTTTTAATTGGTCATTATGACTTCTGTGAACAAACATCATCAAAAGTAAGATGTAAACAAACATATGCACTCGTTCATTTCCTAATGTATCAAAAACGTCGTAATGATCCGTTAAAAAGGAATAAAAAGGGAGTCTATGATAATTTTCTGTTGACCAAAAGTCACCAAATTGTTTCTTCAGGTTCTTGCCGGTGCTTCGCTTGGATGCCTAGTGGCATTTCTAATGAGAAGATCGACGTAGGGAGCCGAGCCGGGCATGGTTTATAGGTCACAAAAAACTCACAAGTGCTAAATATCATTTGGAGAAAGAGATGTAACCATACTTGTAGGCTGTAGCTGGCCCTGTATTACTCCCCTAGATTTTATAGGCTCCGGACTTCTGACTAAACATGCCATTGTGACTCATACCTGCTTCGTTTTAATTTAAGTTAAAAACGTACTCATTTATAGTTTTTTTTAAAGCCATTTATAGTTTTCTTGTTAATACCAATTTTATTAAACCCGTACCCGTATTATACAACATTCTTTTTTTTCTTGGGATTTAGACCATTCTAATTTTTTTTTTAAAAAAAACTGAAACATCAGTGCTACTTTATCTATTTATTTTGATAAAAATTAGATTATACGGAGTAAATAATTATTTTTGTGCATAAATATTTATTAAAAAGAAAATATAAAATAAACTAAAAATAAAATTTGTCTAAACAGGAAAATAATAAAATAAGTTGGAATGAAACTAAGTACGAGTAATAAAGATATGTTTTTAATAAAAAAATACTCCGTAATACAAAGCTAAAAATAAATTGATAAAAAAGTATGAAATTGAGAGGGAAAATATGGGGGCCCACATATAAGAAAAAAATAGGAGAGGAATTGTAGTACCCAACTCGCATAAGCCCAATTCATGAGCTAGCGGGTTGGATGCCACGTGATTACAATCCAAACATTACATCTTCTAAATAATTAAAACCATTTAGGTTCAAAATGTCATTGAAGTAATATCAAATGGTAAGAAAGCTTAAGTCAATTGTTCAAAACATATTTTTGAGTTCATGTCCAAAAACTAACAAGTTCAATTGAAAATGATTAATGAATCAAAATCATCAAGTGTGCATGTGCACATCCCCAAATCCTAGCCGAGATTGGCTCCATGATCATTCTGTTTTTGAATACTTGCGTGTAGTCTCAAAACATACCACATGCTTAGTGGTTAAATTGAGTGAAAATGTCTAACATTTTGAATATACCCAAATCACATTTCACAACTAACACAATTTCAGTTTGTATAACACACACACAGACACGCACACACATAACATATAGTATGTAAGTTATCAACCGTTCAATCTTACAACAACACTTAAGTTTAATAACAATCTAAGCTCCTCCCTAAACTAAGACTGACACAACACAGTAAGAGTTATGACTCACTTCGATTTCTAAAAACGAAACAGTTTGAACCGAAGAAGAAGTTTCCCGGTAGGTGGGTTGAACCCTCATCTCAGAGATCCTCAATTGGTTCTTTAATTTTTGTGCGTATGATTTTACCTGAAGCCACTGGATGTGATATCCACATGGCTGATCTACCTATTCGAACTTATATTTACAATCACAAGAAGTAGTCTTAGAGTTTTTTCTAGATAACCTAAATCATTAATCCATAACATCTCTAATTATTTATTAACACCAATATTGTCATCAAACATATGTTATATTTCAAGTGTCAACGTCATGAACAACAACATGATTAACAATGTTAATTAGCAAATATCGACCTAGTGTTCGGTGTTAACTCCCACACTTGTCGTCATGCAAGAGACTAGGTCTCGAAATCTAATCATTATATTAAGTCAGCAATCAAGTAACAATTATGCAGATCTAGTACTTGACCCAGTACCTAAGTACTGCCTAAGGGTAACATGATACCATCTGCTTGTAGTACGGCTGCCGATTGATTGGCATTGAGTTTTAGCCTATAACAGTAGCGATGGTACCATTGGACAGTAGTGCCCTACCATTGACCAGTAGCACCCTAGCGTCAGTCGGTATTGAGATATCACCAGGCATTGCGAATTCTGCCATATACGCAAACACAACACGAAAATGGGTTTTCAACCCCAGAACACAATGTTAAGCATATAACCACATCATACAAGGTTTATATTCGAACTAGGACATATTTAAAAACCAAACCACACCTAGATTGTGCCTTCTACCATTTCAATTCAACAACAGAGTGCCAAAATATTGATAATGCAAGTCAAGTAAGTTTAACAGATAAATCAATATTAGCAATTAATTATGAACGTAGATTCAACCTAAATACATTTTCTAGCGTTAGATAGGTCCACGAGTTCAACTTAAAAACTAAGTAACGTTCAATAGTGAACTAACGAACAACGGTGTTAGATAGGTCCATGAGTTCTCAAATACGACATTGACAAAATAATTTTCCTTTTCCCTAACTAAACACACGCTAAGAGCTTGCTCTCTTCATCTAATCTGATATGATTTTATTAAGGTCTCATCTAGTTGTAGTTATATTTAAAGTTCTTTTTCATCAGATTTGATCACATCTAACCTCATTTTCAATAAGAATAAAATATACTAGCTCTATTTCATACTCTCTTTGGTCCTAAACATTCTTCATATTTTGACTTTTTTTAGTCAAATAGCGACACTCTTTAACCCTAAATTAAACATATTCTAAATAAATAAATGTTATAAAAACTTGATATATCAAAACTATATCCTAAGATGAAACCAAGTATTTTAAATCTATATTATAATTAAATATACTTTTTCTCACAATTTATGGTAAAAGAGTGTTAGAGTTTGACCAAAAAAGTTAAAACATGAAGAGTTTTTGAGACCAGATTGAATATTGTTTATCCGTTATGACTTTTAGATACATTGATAAGTGAATGAATTTAGACATAAACTATGCCTACATTCATTCAATTTTTAATATATCCAGAAAATCATAATTAACAGTTAATCTGAAAAACTAAAAACTGCCAACCGAATCAAAATCAGTCAGACAATACCAAAAAAACCCATTGCAAGAAACCAAAATTGAACACAAAAACCGAACCTATTCTGGTTGATTTTGGTTTTAGACTTTATTTGAAAATTGAATCAAATCGCAAAAAAAAACTTATTTTCCTAATAATGTGTCATTTAATGTCTGTATGATGTTAGATTGTTAGGCATGAGAGTTGATTACTAGGTTGTGCATTTAGAGATCACCTTAATGTAAAAATAAGCTATTATTGGGAAAATTTTGTTGGGAATTAAACCACACAACACACACAAATATCTGCGAGAAACGAGAAAAATGGAACACAAACGACACACAAGAATTTAACGTGGTTCGGTTTCCCTAATCCACGGCTGCAACAGGAGGATTTTCTTATTTCACTTGTGGTACAAATTACAAGTACAAGTATGCAGTATATATAGGAAGAGTGCATCTAGGGTTTCGTAACATGGGCCGGGCCAAAAGTCAAGCCCAAACCTCCACAAACCCAACATTCTCCCACTTGGAGGCTTGATAATCATCAACTGCCATCCGCCACGATCGCCTGTACATCGAGTAATCTTCCTCAGCTCTCCTGTTGCAGCGGCCCTCTCATCAGACAACTGAAAGGCCCGTTGAAGCTCTCCCAAGCTCCAACACATCAGTCACGGATAAATCTGCCGCTGACTCGTCCTCGGTCCCTACCGGCTCCCACTGCAGATGCACACTTCCGGATCCTGGAACATCATGAGAACAAACAATCTCCGTACTCAGCAAGAAATTTTCTGGAGATGTTCCAACAGCTGGAATACTGGTTCTCCTAACCCACTGTCTTCTAGGCAACTTGGCTGAAGCGCCACTTGAGCTCCCACTGCCACAAATACCTCTGACTGGCCTTCTTGAACCTTTCCACGCTCGTTCATCCTGAGTGTGACCTGTGGCTCTAGGTTTCTCTCTTGCACAGACAACCTTATTCTGCCCACGAGACTCTGTGAACTGGACTTTGTTTCTCTTCTGAACTGGGACGGTCACTCCCTCAAATGGTAACTCGACCATATACAGCGAACCTCTCTTCTCTCCACGGGCAATGAAAAGATTTCCCTTCACGACCTTCCACTGCCCATCTCTGAACTTCACCTCATGTCCTTGTTCGTCCAACTGCCTGACAGAAATCAAATTTTTCTTCAAGCCTGGAACAACTCTGACATCCTTCAAAGTCCAGAAACCGACTGGGGTCTTCAGCACTATGTCACCCATGCCCGTCACATCAAGAGCTCTATCGTCCGCAAGTCGTACCTTTCCAAAGTCTTCAATAACCAGATTCTGCAATGCTTCACCGCTGTGGGTAGCATGAAATGAAGCACCAGAATCCATGACCCAAGAATCCACATTGCTTTCCTCACAGCAAGTCAGAGTGACTTCCTCGTCACTCGCAGAACCTTCAGCAATGTTCACTTTCTTGTCATTCGAGCATTGCTTCCTAAAATGCCCTACCTCCTTGCACTTCGAGCACGTTACACCTGAGCTGTCGCGAGTTTTCGACTGACTCCTTCGTCTGTTCCCGCTCCGATACCACTTGTTGGGAATTAAACCACACAACACACACAAATATCTGCGAGAAACGAGAGAAACGGAACACAAACGACACACAAGAATTTAACGTGGTTCGGTTTCCCTAATCCACGGCTGCAACAGGAGGATTTTCTTATTTCACTTGTGGTACAAATTACAAGTACAAGTATGCAGTATATATAGGAAGAGTGCATCTAGGGTTTCGTAACATGGGTCGGGCCAAAAGTCAAGCCAAGGCTCCACAAACCCAACAAATTTCACTTTCTTTTGAAATGATAGTGAACTTGTTTTTATTTTACGAAGATATGCATGAGTCTTTGTTTTAGAGCCTTGTGACTGTGAGTTTTTTTTCATTTTGTGCAGTGAGACTTGATACTATGATCAATGAATTATTATTATTATTATTATTATTATTATTATTACTATTTGCTTAATTTGACCCTTGGATAGAAATCGGTTCATAACTTCATAATATGATTTTTATTTAATATATGAATCTGAATTGAACTGATAAATCGAAAATTAAACCGCTAAAAACTGAATCGAATAACGAATCGAAGTGTAAAATTGTCTATCATTTCATCTTGAGTTTTCAGTAAAAACCAAACCGTAAAAACCAAACTCATCCCTATATTAAGGTAACCCTAAAAGGTGACCTCAAGCATGACCCCAAGGTTCATACAGACCACAAACTTTATTGTCTATGTCGCGTAGACATTAAGTGGTTTCTTTTGCTTATAAATTCATTAAAATTGTTTTAAGTTATTTTTAATTTATAGGTTAGTTTATGACATGTTTTTTTATGTTAAAAAATTGACTTATAAACTACTTATAAAATAGAAAAAATAAATAAACCTTACATATTTATTTTTAACCATTTTTTTTAAAAAAACTCTATTTTGATTTAGTTACTTACAAAACAGAATTTATGAATATTTCCGAATGATTAACTATCCCTTCTTAATTTTACTTCACTCGTCCCGTCAATTGGTATTTGGTAAGCTCCAGCATCCAACACTCGAGAGTCGAGAGTACTCGCCCCGTGTCTGTTCGAGATGTACAGGGACATGAACAATGGGAGATATTCATTCGACGCAGAGGTTTTGCTTGTGATTGCGGAACAGCGACACCACATATTTTGAACCCATAGGCTCCTCCGCTTATGCTGTCCGCAGAGCCTAACCTTATAGTAATCCCCTCGCGGTCGAGTTCTGTCATTTTCGAAAATCCATGGGTTCCCAGATATGCATAACCAGGCGATTACTTGTTACGACAAAAACTTCATTCACATGTTTTCCATTAAAACCTTCAGTGATGTTCCGTGGAGCAGCTACATTGGCAGCCTCACAAACTTCCTCCTCATACAACCGAACCTTCTCCCACATTTTCCAAGATTGTTCGAGCCAAAGGGCCCTGTTTGCTGGGAAACAAGCCCATGCCCTTATGATAACTTCTGGGTTTGTACCCACCGTCTTTGTTACCAATTGTTTGATTCAGTTGTACATAAACTGCTCTTGTCTCCACTATGCAGACAAAGTGTTTGATATCATGCCTCAAAGAGACACGGTTACGTGGAATGCAATGATTTCCAGGTATACCATGGTTGGTGATCTGAGGAAGGCGGAGATGGCTTTTGGCTTCATGCCAAATAGAGATGTCGTATCTTGGAATTCTATGATGTCAGGGTACTTGCAGAATGGAGATCATGAAAAAGCTGTGGAAGTTTTTGTAGAAATGGGGAAAGAGGATGTTGCTTTCGATGGGACCACTTTTTCCGTTGCACTGAAAGTTATCTCAGCCTTGGACGATCTTGGTTTGGGGTTGCAGGTTCATGGGTTGGTCACTAAAATGTCATTTAATATGGATGTGACTGTTGGAACTGCAATTGTTGATATGTATTCCAAGTGCAAGAGACTAGATGAGGCGATGTGTTTCTTTACTGAAATGTCAGAGAAGAATTCTGTTTCTTGGAGTGCTTTGATTGCAGGTCATGTCCAGAACAACCAGCTTGTTGAGGGATTAGAGCTTTTCAAGAAGATGCAAAATCAAGAACTCAGTGTTTGTCAGTCTACTTACGCCAGTCTCTTCAGGTCTTGTGCAGGGTTGTCCTACTTGAGTTTTGGTTGTCAGTTGCACGGCCATACACTGAAGACCAATTTTGCGTCTGATTTCATTGTAGGAACTTCCATTTTGGATATGTATGCAAAATGCAGCAAGCTAACAGAAGCGCGGAAGGTATTCGACCTCTTGCCATTCCGCACTTTGCAATCTTATAATGCAATGATTGTTGGGTATGCTCGGGGAAACAAAAAGTCTGAGGCTTTAAGGTTATTCCAGACTTTGATCAAGTCTGGTCTTGGCTATAATGAAATAGCTTTATCAGGAGTGTTCAGTGCTTGTGCAGGAGCCAAAGCGCTTTCAGAAGGAGTTCAGTTCCATGCATTAGTCATCAAGACACCTTTTCAATCTAACATTAGTGTGGCAAATTCTGTTCTCGACATGTATGGGAAATGCGAAGCACCTAATGAAGCTCGTCGTCAGTTCGATGAGATGGAGTTTAGGGATGCTGTGTCCTGGAATGCCATTATTGCTGCTTATGAGAAGAATGGATTAACAGAGGAAACCCTAATGCTCTTTTTTTCCATGATTCAGTCAAAGATGGAACCCGATGAGTTCACTTATGGCAGTGTTTTAAAAGTGTGTGCAGCCAAACAGGCTCTGCAACGCGGTATGGAGATCCATAGCAGAATCTTGAAATCCGGATTGGGATTTCACTCATTTATAGGAAGCTCTCTTGTCGATATGTACTGCAAGTGTGGGAAGCTAAAAGAAGCCGAGAGGCTTCATTACAGAATGGATGAACAAACCATTGTTTCTTGGAACGCAATAATTTCTGGGTTCTCAATGCACGAGCGCAGTGAAGAAGCTCAAATTTTCTTTTCTAAAATGTTGTGCGAGGATGGAGTGAAACCGGACAACTTCACGTATGCAACGGTTCTTGATATTTGTGCTAATATGGCGACCGTTGGACTCGGGAAGCAAATCCATGGCCAAATCATGAAACAAGATTTGCTTTCGGATGCCTACATTATAAGCACTCTTGTGGACATGTATTCAAAGTGTGGGGACCTTCATGATGCCAAGTTGGCTTTTGAGAAAGCTCCGAAAAAGGATCTTGTGACATGGAACGCCATAATATGTGGGTCTGCCCAGCACGGCCTCGCAGAAGATGCATTGCAGATTTTCGGAAGGATGGAACAGGCAGGCATTTTGCCCAACCACTCTACTTTTCTTGCAGTCCTCCGTGCTTGCGTCCATATGGGACTCGTAGAAAAGGGGTTGAGCTATTTCAATATGATGGAGAAGTACGGGCTGGAACATCAAATGGAACATTTCTCGTGCATGGTGGAAATTTTAGGGCGGGCGGGTCGGGCGTCCGATGCCCTGAAGCTTATCCGGGATATGCCTTTCATGGCCGACAATGTCACTTGGAGAACCCTGCTAAGTACCTGCAAAATGAATGTGAACGTAGAAGTGGCGGAAGTTGCTGCAAATTCCCTTTTGCAGATAGACCCCATGGACTCGTCCACATATGTTCTTCTGTGCAATGTTTATGCCAATGCAGGAATGTGGGAACGGGTTGCGGGCATAAGGAAGGAAATGCGATTTGGGTGTCTAAAGAAGGAGCCGGGATGTAGCTGGATTGAGGTGAACTCTGAGGTGCATATGTTTTATGTTGGAGACAAAGCTCATCCTAGATGCACAGACATATATACAAACCTGGATTTGCTGATCACTGAAATGAAGCTTGCTGGAACTGGATATGAACTTGGATTGTTAACTTTCACCTTGCAGTGATGAAGGTAAGTAGATAACCCACAAGTCTTATTTCTTTACTGAACCATGGGAGCCAAAATTCCTCAAATAAAATTCCTCTACGCTAAAATTTTCTTTCTAGTTTTACTTGGGATGCATTATAAGAAGTTTTTCTTCCCATTGGTGTATTTTTTTTCCAAAATACAAAGAGAAAAATATACCCGAGTAATCAAAAGCTGTCTAGATTTAGTTGTTTCTTTTATCCAAAATACCTCAAATTTACTGAATGACTTAAAAATATACAAAAATCGTGATATTAGCATAATTTTCATTGATGGCATGATTATTCACAATTATTTAATGTAGGCAAACAATTAATTTAGGATGTCTACAAAAAGGAAAAGTTTGGCAACTAATATGAACTAAGGGTAGTTTTTATGTCAAACTCGAACTTATCATTGCGAAGTTGGTAGGATTCAAACAAATTTTCACTGCAATAAAAAAACAAAGGAGAATTCTCTATTTGGCTCATCAACAATTCCTGATTCTTTAATATAGCTTCTCAGTAGAGGTCTTGAGTTTGATTCTCGACAATTATGTTAGGAGGCAATCATGCTCAGTATGAGGTCTCTATATGTACTAGTTGGGTCTTTGTAAGTACTAGATGTGAACTCCTTATCAATCAGATTTTGATTAAAGTTTAATTTACTCCTGCCAGCTAAACTATCTTCAGTTGGTTTGGAGGCCCTCAAGGAAGTTAATGTGATTCAATCCATCGATTATGTACTTTTAATAAGCTGTCAATACAATCTCATACACCATAATGGTTATATTATTATTGTGAATAATATGAAATGCAGTGTTATGATCTATCTCATTTCGTAGCTTTCTCTTCTCTTCTTCCCTTTGTTTATTATCCCCTAATGGTGTAAGCTTTGAACTTTGAAGGAATTTAAGCTTCCAGTTCATGTATTGTGGTCATCATTGTCTTTTCACCATGAACATTTCAAATTCGTAATTTTTTTGCTTATCCTTTTTTCAGCATTTTTGAAATTCAGTTCTAGCTTTAATGAGCATAAAACCGTATCTGGAGAATCGTCATGGGGTTCTTGATAATTGCGTTATTAACTCGGTATATCCGTGTAGCTGGGGCATGGCCACTTGCTCTTCAACTGGTCTTGTTATTGGACTGTAAGTTATTAATCTTTCAAGTTTTTTTTACCCAGATTTTCTTTGCAAATTTAGCCCATGCTTGGAACCTGGATGTTTTTTTTTTTCATTTTCAGTTTTAACTTGGAATATATACAGGGAGTAACTTAAATTTTGATTAGAACATTTTATTTTTTTTACATGAATAATCTTCTTTGTATTTATATAAATAATCTAATTTCTAACAAACGGAACCTCCATCCCTATAGCCACAATGCAATCATCCCCGATTTCAAAACGGCACCGACACCGCCACACTATCACCATCACGACCACCGCATCCAAATTGCCGACACCACCGTCGCGCAACCACCGCCACCACCACCACCACTACCGTCAGTGCCACCACTGCTGCCACAGCTAACTTCGTCCTCCACACTACTCTGTCGCCACATAGCCACCCTCTCTGCCACCTTGAAGAGTTGGATCAATTGAATTTGTAAAAAGGTCCTCGACCTTAAAGAGTTGGATCAATTACAACATCCAATTATAAGGACTTTATGTGACATGGAGCAAATATTAATCTCTAGTTTTTTCACCATAATGGTACATTTGGTAACTCACTTGGTTTCTGAGGCTAAACTAGGAGGACCAGTTATGCATCGTTGGATGTATCCAATTGAAAGGCGAGTTTTTTAAATATTGATTTTTTTTATTAACTGCATATGTTCACTAATAGGAATTCTATATTCTATTGCTCACTGAAAGTTTTTGGTGCGCTTAAAATCATATTTCCGTAATAAAGCACAACCAGAGGGCTCAATTGCAGAAGGATTTATTGCAGATGAATGTCTTATTTTTTGTTCAAGATATTTCACAGGCATAGAGACCAGGTTCACTTGTCCCCAAAGGAATGATGATAAAATTCCTAACAAGGAGATTTACTTGTTTAACTCCCGTGCTCGTGCTCTAGGTAAGGTTGAAAACCTTCAGATGGATGCCCTATCATTTGCCCAAGCTCATCGTTATGTTCTACATAGCGAAAAAGTGCCCCCCTGTCTTGAGTAAGTATCAATGCGTACACGCACACACAGATATATTCATAAATAGGTGAGTTTCAGTTATTGATGGTTGTAGATTCTTTTTGAGTGAAAAACGTGGTGCACTTGGTAAGCGAGGTAGTCAACGGTTAGAGAAAAATGGCTAGTTGAAGAGTTTTCTTTGTGGCTGCAACAACAGGTTTGAGTATATTTGGAAGCACAAATGTTGATAACTTGGATCATTTTTACTCATACCATAATGCAATTGAATATTCAATTATAGTACCAATCTTGGAGAAAGGTAACTTTAGTGTAGAGCTGAAAGTTCTTGCGAGAGGTCCAAGCACATATGTTAAGAGATTTAAAGCCTTTATGATTAATGGATTCAGATTTCATACAGTTGATCGTGAAAGATTTAGAAGTCAAAATTCAGGTGTTGTTTTGGAAGTTCAAGGAGAAACTTCTAACATGGATTGTAGGATCCAAAGCTATTATGGTCTTATAAGATATTTATGAACTGGACTACTTTAATAGCTGTAAAGTTGTGCTTTTTCGGCGTTATAGGGTCGATATCTGGCAATCAGCGGGAGGATTGAAGGTGGATAAGTTTGGGTATCCCCTCGTAAATTTTAATAATTTAACTCACACTGGTAAGGATTTAAAGGATGATCCATTTGTTCTGTCATCTCAAGTAAAGCAAGTGTCTTATGTGAAGGGTCAGAAGGATAAAGAATGGGCACATGTTGTATGACATGAGGGTCAATGTGGAAGAGGATGATGGTGAGGGTACTAACAATTGAAGATATAAGTCAACTTTGTGGTCGGCACAGAATTGAGAATGAGGATCACAATTCTTGATAATGTTTTAGTTGAATGTTTCTAATAGTTTTATACTTTGATATATATTTATCATCCATATTTTCCCTTAAACTATATTAATTGTCTAATAGTAGATGCATGACTTGCTATGAAATATACTTCTAATGTTCAGTTGTTTTGCTATTGTTGTTCAAATTAATAATATTTTTTGAGCCATTTTTTTGGATTAAATGAATCATATTTTTTGAGCTATATTATGTGTAGGGGATTTTTAAAATGGCAAAGTCAAAAAGTTTGAGTAAGCATACAGAACAGCTTCGCCCTGTGATCTCCATGAGATCACTTCACCTAGTATCTCAGTACGTGAGTCTGTTCAAAATCTATCTTCCTCCTTTATAAACAATTTTCAGGAGTCATCCACCCATCCATCAAAAGTACACGAGATTTTGACCTCTGTTCGGTCAGCCTGAACGAGCATCAACTTCGTCACTAGGGGCACTACTTAAATCTTCTTCACCCCGTCGTCTTGAAGCTAGAGAGGATGAGACAAGCAATGATGAAAGCGAGAGCAGTGAAAATAGGCCAGCGAGGATGAAACTGAAGATGCTATCCCTCAAACAAATGAGATAAGTGAGGATGAACTTGAAGAAGATAATTTCTTTCATGAAGTTAACATTATAGGTATCTTTTTTTATATTCGTTTTTCATTCATCTTATTTATCATTAACTTATGTATATTTATCTCTTGAAAATTAGATGCAAATGGTGTTTCAAGGAAGAAACAAAGTATGAAACTCAAGGATGTATTGAGGATGCGTGAAGGTGAAAAAATTCGAGTGCAAATGAATGAATTAGCCCAACATGTTGGAGCAGCTCGAAAGGTCTTGACCGGGTGGATGACTATGTTGGTCAAGCAACAAAATCCCTGTTCGCCAAGTGTTAGCAACTTCTGTGGAGTGAAAAAGGTTTCACGTCTTTTGCTATTGAGAAACGTACGGGTAAGATGCGACTACTAATAAAGCAGATTTGTACCATAACGTCATATATTGTAACTCACTCATTCTATTTTGGTTATAGGATAAATTTCCATTTTCCAATCATCACATGGTCGACAAAGTTTTGCTCGCCCTGTTTAGTGCCACGTTCAGGAATCATAAGCATAACTTGACTTGCAAACTTCTCAAGGATGCAACAACGTCATTACGAGCTATGCTCAAGCAGTATTTACAACGTATTGGGATCGAAGGTGTAGAATTGGCTAAACTAGTCAAACAACACAAGCTATGTGATGTGCAACAAGTGGAGGAACTTGATATATTGCCGATGGAAGTTGAATTTAATGAGTTTCAATGGCTTGATTTCAAAAATTATATCAAATCAAAGGAGTGTAAGGTAAGATTTTAAGTATTGAAGAACCTTTTATATGCATTTTTTGTCTGAGCTTCTTGCCTTTCTACTTGATATCCTAAATAATGACTTCAAAATTACTTCTTAAGGGATCGTTCTGTGAAAGGGAAGACAATACGTATATTTGTTGTGTTCTTTATGCAGTCTCTTTTTGGCTAACACACATTTTTTTAAATGTTAGGATGAGAGATATGATACGCAGAGCAATGATACAAGTAGAAACGATTACGAATATGAGAGCACTGGAAATGGTCATGAAGCCCCGGGGCTTCAAGCCGGGGCTTCAAACTCTCTCTCTCTGCCACATCAGCTTTAACTTACACCAAAAATTCACTGGAAAAGGTTTTGAAGCCCCGGGGCTTCAAACTGGGGCTTCAAACCTTCATTTTTTACATTTTTAAATATATATCTTCTAAATTTAAATTAATAAATTTAAATTAATTTATTATTTTAATTAATCGCAATGACACTAGTGCATTAAAAAAAATTAAATTCATTATAAAAAAAACTTACATTCATAAAAAAAACATTCAAAAAAAAATTACATTCATTAAAAAAAATATTACAACCAAAAAAACAACAGTACAAAGAAATCACTAATTATTCGAACGACTAAAGATATGCTCGATCAAATCCGCCGTTAGTGCATTGTGAATCTCTCGGCTTCGAATTTCTTGGCGGTTGCGTCGTTTCTTTTCTTCTCTTCGTACATAGGCACCTCCTCGTCCGATTTGTATTGACAAATCGTTGACCGTTATCCTCTATGATCATATTATGAAGAATAATACATGCGTACATGATATTCCTCATTTTTGTCTGAGAATAACATTTCGACGGACGATCTAGAATGTGCCACTTAGCCTTCAAGACTCCAAAGACTCGTTCAATATCTTTTCTCGCCGCCTCTTGAGCTTTTTTGTAGGTCTGGCGTTTAAGACCCATTGGTTCTGAGAGAAATTTGACAATCGTGGAATAATCTGGATATATTCCATCGGCCAAATAATATCCACGCTTGTAAAGCGTCCCTCTAAGCTCAAAAGAGGAGTCCGGTGCGGTCTCATTAACCCAATCGTCAAAAACAGGGGATTGATCGAGAACGTTGATGTCGTTGTTCGAGCCCGCGACACCGAAAAAAGCATGCCAAATCACAAGTCATTCGAAGCAAAAAGCGTTTCACTTTTCACACTTTTGGACCCAAAAAGCGTTTCCCTTTTCACACTTTTGGACCCTAATACCCTAGAATGTCCCAAAAAGCGTTTCACTTTTCACACTTTTGGACCCTAATACCCTTTACCCTAATTAAATCTACCCAACCCACCCAAACCCCTCCACTTACCTTATCCATCAATTCACTCCTACCCCACCCACTCATCTACACTCATCCCCGTCTCTTTTCTCTGCCTATTCCACTTCCCCGTTGCCGGCACCCTTCTCTCTTCAGATTTCCCTTCTCTTTTTCTTTGATTGATCTAAAATTTTTTATGGGGATTCCTGATCCTACTATGCCAAGCTTCAAGCTATTATCTAATAATGATGAGGAGAGATTGGCTCTTACGCCTGTCCCAACTACTTCGAAGCCTTCAATCCCTGATTATGACTCTGGGGATAGTGGATCTGGAACCTCTGATACAGATCCAACATGGTGGTACCGGAAAAAATATCTAGGGTGTGACTTTTTCCCTTCAGAGGAAGAAGAAGGCTATGTCGAAGATGGGGAAGAGGATGAAGATGATGAATCTGTTACCTTAGAACAGATCCTGGCGATGTCTGATACAGAAATTGTTTTCGAAGAGCCATATGGAGATGAGGCGAAGGCACTTTGCTAAAGGAAGAGTAATTTCGCTCTACTCTTTAATTTTACTCTCTAATTTCTACATGCCCTAATTTTTTCTGAAGTGGCAACCCCGTATAGATTGGAGACTTACATTACTGAATACTTTTATCCATTTGGTCAACCCTTTGTCTGTTTTGTGCCAAAAGTGTTGTGGTGAGAGTATGATTGTGTGCTTTATTCATTCTTCTCTGCCAGTGATTCAAATCTGCATTGGAAATTGCTTTTTAATTTCTTGTTGATTTGTTCTGATAAGAACTGAAAATGCTTATCAAATTTTTTCTGATAAGAACAGATGCTACATTACATCCAACTGATAAATACAGATGCTACATTACATCCAACTGATAAATACAGATGCTACATTTAGAGACTACCTTTACTGATAATAACACATGCTACACATAGCCAATTGCAATACTGATAATTATACAAACTACACTTGCATTACAAAAACCCAAAAAATATCAAGTAGAACTCCAACTGAGTTAGATACACCACTTGTCAATAGTCTTCCAAAAATTTGTGCAAAAGGAGTCAATAGGAAGTACATAGAGGCATTGTACTCTTCCTTTCCCATGTTGCACTAACAAAAAAAAGTACCCTATCAAAAGGTACTCACATATGCCCCTGTAAGTACACTTGTGCAGTGTGATACACTTCTGACCTGACCCCTAAATTCTGTGGTAATGTTTCTTCTTTGGCCATCTTTGTTTTGTTCATGTGAGGGATTTTGAACTGGTTCCCCCCTTTGTTATTAAGAACCTCACCCATCACACCTTGAAGGGTCAAGAATACTCTATTAAGTGTGTCATGTGAGAGCTCTTCGAAAGCTGTAGTAACAATAAGAACCAAGTCTGCCAAAGACCTAGAGCAACTTGGTCTTGCAATGTGTCAATAGATCTAAAGAATCCAAGATCAAGTACATTTAGGTCTGGGCTGTTTGGAGGCTAGAATTTCAATTCAATATTCCAGTCTCCTTCATGTCCTGTTGCTAAAATATCAGGGTCATTACCATCAACATGAGGCTTTGCATTATCTTGCTGAATAATAACATTCCTTGAAGAACCTGGTCACTTTTGCTTAATTGCTGGTAGTAACTTACTGAGTAACATCTCTTTCATAACATCCCTATTTATTATTGGGATAGGTTTAACCTCCATAGTCCCTGCTGGCCTATTTTTACTTGACCTTTGAGCTGCAGCTTCATAAGTGAATGGGAATATGCTTGTTTTCCCATCACACAAAACTTCCCCATGCTCCCCATACCTTGGCCTACCAACAGCAGCTAGGAACATTATTTTTGGTATGTGACTTTTGCTTTGAATGGTTCTGTATGGGTCTATCTCATCAGGCACAGCATAGAAAGTTGTGCTTCTTTTTGTGATCTCAAATCATTTTTCATCAATATGAATATGATCATAAAAGTCATGAAATGTTGGGTTCATGGGAATTGACAGGGGAGAAATATGCTCTAGACAGAATTTAAGCCTTTTCAATGTACCTGATTCACACAGTAATGGCTTTATGGCATTTGAATGCCTCCTAATCTGCTTTAACTGAAGCCATCTATGGACTGTGGATTTTGATACATCCATTCCATAGCTTAATGCACGCATGTTTTTGTGCCTGTTGAAAGGTAGAGCTGCCATTTTTTCAAAGTCCACAGCCATCTTTTTTCTACCACAGTTTCCTTTCCACTTACACTCTACAACAATGGGTTGACCTCCCTGGATTTGAGCCTGAACTACCTGCCAAATGCTGCTTACAGTTCTACTTGTAATGCTGAATTCTTCAGCCAGTTTTTTTTATGGTACCATGCTGAAGTTTGCCATTCCTACAATGTTGTAGTAACTGATCCGCAATTCTTTTCCTTCTTTGATTTAATAAAGCACCTTTACTTTCGGATTGTGTTTCTGTTTCTGTTTCAGGAGTGAAACGATTGGGTAAAGGGACTTCAATAACTTGGGGAAGATGGTCAAAGGAAGAAGAATCATCCTCTGAACAAGTAAAGCAGGGCAATGGAGAGTGCAACGGGGACTCAAATGGAGGATTCATTGGAGAAGGAAGGAAAAAGAATCTAGGAGGAGGAATGCATTCAATGCATTCATTTAGGTAGAAGTGTGGTGGGTATTTGTAATTAGAGTTTGCTATTTTTGGAGGGATGTCTCTGGAGGGAATTTCGAAATTCTCCAAAAATAGCCAAATGTTTTAAAAACATGTTTTGGTGTGTATTTGAAGGGATTTTGTGGCTGGTGTTGTACTTTTGCCTAACCCCCATCATTACCCTCGTGTGTGTGGGAGGGAATGGGTTGTTTTTTTATTCTCAACAACTATTGGATTTGATGGGCAAGTACACTTCACATTAAATGCAATTTACTTTACACTATTTGCTTCTCTTTATTAGATTAGGGTTGATGGTAAAATTGTCAAGTCAATGAAAAAAATTTGGCCCCTTAATTTGGTTGAAAGTCAAAACAAGAAAAGGAAAAAGGGACGGAGGGAGTATATTTTAGTACTATTTAGTGCAAATTTCACCTTCTATTATGCATTAATATATATGGCTATGATGCTTTAAAAGTGTCAAAAGTGGGGGATGTCATTTATAACTGTCAAAATTTTTAATAACACTTGTGTCATGGTTTAATTCTGTATAGAGCTGGACACAATTCCACAATCGTCCTGGGTATTGGATTGGCACTGCAGGTTCTTGGTACCAGACCGATACTGGAACAGCTCGGCGGGGGACTGGATATCAGAGATGCCAATGGTGGGGACGACATTGGGTTTCAAGAATTTTAGACCCGGGGGTGGGGGGGCTTATGGGGGGTGGGGGGTTGGCTGGCTGTTGGTTTCCGAAATGGCAGGCCAACCAACGATTGTCTAGCCGTTGGAGGCTTTGGGGGGGGGGGGTTATTACTTATAAATACACTCCCTTCTCAACCAAAAATATTCACAAATACGTTTATTATTATTATTAAATACTACGAGTAATACTCTACTACTATCATTTTACTACATACATATTATATAAATTTTAAAATATTACACATTATTTTAATAATTTCATAATACACACTATTATTTTGTGTATTCTCTAGAGCAACAATCTCATTCTCGAGATGCAACCAGAGTCGTCGTTAGAAGGTCCAAGGCCAAGGAAAAAGTGTGTTTCCGATTTTTTAAAATAACAAGGATACGAGCACCAAGGTGTGGACCATTGAGTGGGAGCAGTACTAAAAAAGAGAGTACACTTGATTTACAATATTACTTCATGTATTTAGGCCATGTTTTCGTCAACTTATTTTTATTCCATCCGTTCCTAAATATTTGTCACACTTGTATTCCCTAGGCAAAATATCAAGTTTTTTCATTTCATTTTATTTACATATTGGTATAGAAATAAAAAATAAAATTTACATATCAAAAAACTACATGAAAAGTTCTTCGAAATAAGATGTGTCAAGAATATTTTATTTTATCAAATAATCAATGAAAACGTAAGAATAAACAAAAGTTCCCGCGACTGCTGAAAAAGCAAACGTTGCAAATAATTTGGGACGGAGGGAGTATTACTTATTATTTTTTCATATTGGATTCCGATTATAAACCAGATCAGATCAAGTCTAAAATATAACTACATTCAGATCAGACTAAATTAGATCAGAACTTATTTCAATAAGATCAGAAGCATTCATATAAGGTGAATAGAAAAATGATCTTTACGGTTTGATCTTTATCTCGTCGCATTTGTTTGAACCATCAAGATTAATAAAAAGTTGTACGATTTTATGCTAAATTTCTAATTAAATAAAACGTTACAACTACAATCTTAATACAGAAATGATTAGAAAAATTAAAAGGGAGGCGTAGCTGGGGATCAGCCCGGTACCGGACAGTTCGGTGACCGATCTGGGTACCGGTGTCCACTGGCACCAGTGGCTGGGAGGGGGTGGAAGGGACCGGGACCGGAATGGCCCGTGTCCAGGTCTAATTCTATGCCATAGCAAACGATAAAACTTTCATAATTAAGGTGTCAATATCTAATTTTGTGTAGTGGTGTAAACGGATATTAATCGGATCAGATGTGTCATTACCAAATCCGTATCCGTTTATTTTTGCCGGATATCGAATTCGGATACGGATCTTGACGGATGCTGAAAATCAAAACTGTATCCGCATCTGTCGGATATCAGTCGGATATCGGATATATCCGTATCCATTTTCAATTTTTAAAACCAAATTAAACAATACTTTAATTTTCAATTAAACTAAATCAAAATATTATTAAATCAACTATAAATTTTTATGAGATTATTAATTTCTTATTTTTTTTATAGTTTATGATATTCTACGATGACTTCATATCATAAAAAGATATACAGAGTACATATATACACATATTTCTGTATGTCGATGCATATTTTTATGTGTCTAGACATATATTTTGCATATAAGAATGTCTTATATTTTGAGATATCAATAGAGAACAAAATATAAAAATAAAAAATTAAGAAAAACTATACATAACAGACCGGATACACGGATAAACGATTATTTAAACGGATGTCAATGCGGAGCGGATTATATACGGATCAGATGTATGATTACCAAATCCGTATCCGTTTAGAAATCATAGATCTTTAATCGAATACGGATAATAACCGCTTTTAACGGATGCAGATATTTTCCATATAAACAGATACTGATACGGACGGTAATGGAATTTTCTGTTATCCATTTACAGCCCTAATTTTGTGTTAAGTGTCATAAATCGATTTAAAAGATGTCATTACTGACTCCATTTTTTGTAGCGTTATAAAACGAGCACTAGAAATACGTTTGAAGCCCCGGGGATTCAAACCGGGGCTTCAAACATTCTCTCTCTGCCACGTCAGCTTTAACTTACACCAAAAATTCACTGGAAATGGGTTTGAAGCCCCGGGGCTTCAAACTGGGGCTTCAATCTTCTTTTTTTACATTTTTAAATATACATCTTCTAAATTTAAATTAATAAATTTAAATTAATTTATTATTTAATTATATTGAAACACAAATACTAAAAAAATACATTCATTAAATTTAAAGAAATTGAAACGACAATAATTTAAAATTTAAAAAATTACATTCATTAAAAAAAATAAACGAAGTAGGGGCAAGGTCTGCGTACACACACCCTCCCCAGACCCTACTCTTGTGGGATTTAACTGGGTTGTTGTTGTTGTTGTAAAAAAAATAAACGAAAATAATAAAAAAGATACATTAATAAAAAAACTAAGGTAAATTATATTTCGCCTTGATCTATGTTTGTCTTTGCTCGTAGATCATCCGTTTGAAACCCGACAACGTAGAAAGGTCGGTTTCCATGATTTTGATCTCGTCGTCTTGCTCCTTACGCTTCAACTCCTTCTCTTTTAGCTTCAACCTCTCTTCTTCTCGAAGATTGAACACCCGAAGTTGTTCAACCATTGCCCGACTGATTTCGTCGCGAGAAGAAACGGAAGCAGAGCCGGACCCTCCCGAACCCGAGGCAATGGATTTTGCCTTCTTTCTTCCGATCGGCCGTGGAATGGGGTCCTCGTCATCGGAATCCGCAACGTTGAAGGGAGGGATTTGATCGGACGAACCGATAGTCTCGTCGACCTCAACCTCGGCGTCGACGGAGGATCGATCTTTTCTTTGACGATCCGCCGTCGAAATTGTTGAGTTGTTGCCACTTCGGGGAACGACTCAAAATCCTCCAAAGATCGATGGGCACCTTGCCTTGGTGCCCGTCATCTTGATACCGGGCCGTGGCAAGCCGGGGAACATCGGCGTCGTTCGTCACGCTCCTCCGGGACCGGGCGCATTCCTCGTAAACTCCGATAAACTTTCGGACTTTACAGTTGATGTGGCCCCATTTGGAAGTGAGTTGGTCTTGGGTACGGTAGGAGCTGTCCTTGTTCATCGCCGAGAAAAACTTCTCCTCGATACGATCCCACATCGCATCCTTCGTTTGCTCCGAACCTTTAAAAAAGTGTAACACGAAATTTTTTTATGACACGATTAAATATAATTTTATATAAATAAAAACATAAATATATTAGAAAACATATACAGTAATTTTTACCAATGATAGGATGCTCGGAGACGTCAACCCAAGCCGACGCTAATTAGCACTCCTCCTCCGGCGTCCACTTTTGGATTGACCGTGCTGCCTCGGTCATCGTGCCTTTTGCTTTGTGGCTTTTCCGGTGTGTACTTTTTTTCGAGCCGGTCGGTTCCGGTTGAGTCTCCGGAACCAAATCTCGCTCGACGTACCTCGATTGTTGCGTCTCGAAGATCGGCGGATGATCCCCCAATTCTTGGAAATACCACATCGCGGCATCGCTTGGCGCGAGATTGTCGGGAAAGAAGCCGGAGCCGGAAGGATTCATGTTCAAAAGAGAGAGCAAGAGTTTGAAATTGAAGAATATGTGAAGAAGATTGAAGAAGATTGAAGGTGTAAGAGAATGGGAGGGGGGTTTGAAATTTATAAAAAAAATTACTTTTTTTTTTTTGTCTTCAACGGCTATTAGAGCCGTTAAGGGGGGAGGGAGTTGCGTCAAACTACTGATGCCGATGCAACGACGCCCTTATCACGCTGATGGGGGGCGGTGTTTAACGCCCCGGCGCTGACGCCGGTGGGCGTGATGCCATTACCAGTGGCCTTACTACAACAACATGTAACAGAATTTGTGTTTGGGCCCATCGGACGGTATACATAGGTGGCAGTCAAACCAAACTTATTTTCATCAATAAATGAATGTGCATGGCTAAAACCACACCATAACAATTATCTTGTGTAATCAATTTAATTAGCTTAATAGATCTCTAACCAACCATATATACCTAGAAAAACTGTACAAATAAATATTCTCTCCCTGCCAGAAACTTCTTCCCCTCTCATTTTCTTATTGTCTCACAAACTCCTTTCCTTTTATATTAAAAAAACAATTTT